AGTGACTTGAAGATAGCAGGCGCGGGCGATTTTCTGATTCCCCTGGGAGTAGCCAATGCCCCCCTCGGCGGGGAACTTGAGGCAGAGGTGCCTCATGGAGATGACGGCCTCGAGGTCCTCGAGGGCTGGCCGGCCGAGGATGATGTTGTGGGCGCAGTCGATGTTGACGACGACGAACTCCACTTCGAGCTGGGCTCTATGGAGCCCGTCGCCAAAGATTACCGGGAGGGTTATTACCCCCTCGGAATCAATAGTATCGCCGGTGAAGCCGGCAAGAGGGGTCTTAATGGGCCGAAGGGTCCCCCTCTCCAGATGCAGCTCTCTAAAGGTGCTGAGGTACATTACATTGACGGAGCTGCCCGTGTCAATGTAAGTTCGGTGAATGATGGTGTCGTTTATTTCAGTTCGAATCACCAAGGCATCCCTGTGAGGAGAAGAAGTAGGAGGGAGATCTGCGTTGGTGAAGGTGATGGGTTCCTCCCTCAGCCACTTTATCGGGGGCATATGAGTGACTTCCCCTACGTAAAGCGATTGAGCCCATTTTTTCCGCTGGCTGGTGGAGTCGCCCCCTGTATTGCCACCGGTGATCATGATGATGTGGCGTTTTTTCTCCTGGTAGTGGGGGTACTCCTCCTCTTCCTCCTCCAAGTTTCCGATCTCCCTCTTCTTGCCGAGGGGGATGGTGTTCGGGTTCACCCAAGCGTTCACCTTCGTGTGGTGCCCTCGGGGAGGTCCCTGATGAGAAGGCCTCTCCTGCCGAGGGCTCTGGATAAATTGGGACAGGTGCCCCGCTTGTATCAATCTCTCGATGGCCGTCTTTAGCTGATGGCAGTCATCGGTTCTGTGCCCCTGGTGCCGATGGAAATGACAGTAGGGGAACTGAGGGTTGATAGCATGTACCTCCGGGGGCGCGCGAGAATCGCGCTCAACGAGGCCCCTCTTTTCGGCAAAATCAAGGATGATGCTGACGGGGTGCGTCAATGGTGTCCGAGGGCGGTCCAGGAGAATGGGTTGTGCCCAAGTCTTAGGACTGCTCTTATAACCTCCCTCGGGCTTGGCTTGGCCTTGCCGAGGGCGGTTATCAGAGGGTCCTGAAGACTTGGGGTGATTTGGAGGAGCCCCCGGCCCCCGGTTATTCTTGTTGTCAGCCCTCGGGGGTTGCTGATCTGGATGCTGGTGGTATTTCTCCACCTCCTCGGCCTCAGCGTATCAGTCCCCCCGCTGCAGGGCCCTTATGTAATCGCGAGGGGGGGTTCAATGATGAGGCTCCTTGAAAAGTTGCCGGTGCGGAGGACGGTTTGTAGGAGGGCCAGGAGGGTCCCGTCATCAGCACCGTCGACTTTGTCGGCTTCCGTTCTCCAGTGCTCCAGGAAGTCCCGAAGGGTCTCATCCCTCTTCTGGCGTATGGTTAGGAGGTGGGAGAAGTACTTCCTTGTGCGACGTCTCCCGGTAAATTGCGTCAAGAATCGCTGGGCGAGTTCTTGCCACGAATCAATGCAGCCCTCGGGCAACCGGTTGAACCATTCGTATGCCGGCCCCTCTAAGGTGGAGAGGAACCAACGACACAAATATTCGTCCGACGCCCCTACCATCATCATGCTGTTCTGATATTTGCTGTAATGCTCCTTGGGGTCCGTCTTTCCGTTGTAGGGCTGTATGTGTTGCCCTCGGTATTTTTCCGGGATCCGGGCCGCCAGTACCCTTGGGGTAAATGGCGTCCGGGTCCGGAGCTGGATGACGGGTTCCCCGGAGCCCTCGGCTACCTTCTTCTGTAATTCCTCCATTTTGGCCATCATGGCCTCGTATTTGAGGTCTGAATGTGGGGTGGAGGTGGTGGCGTGAGCTTTGTTGGCCTCCATTTCATCAAGCCGGCGTTGGAGGGCTGTAATAATTTCGTCTCGGGGATCCTTCGGGAGGGTCTCCGCCCCCTGCGAACGAACCCGGGCCGAGTGGGCCTGGTTGATATGGTGGCGAGCATCGTCGGCATGAAGGGGTGCCTTGCCTTTGTCCGCTCCTCGTCTGCCCTCGAGACAGACCCTCCGCTTTCCTGGGGCCTTTGGAGTGCTTTCCCTCCGAGGCGGTCTTGGACCCCTCAGCGGTCTTGCCCTCCTCCGAGCCGGTTGAGGGCGGAAGTGCGGGGCCTTTCTCTGTTGTCATTGTGGCGGTCCCGGGACTGAACTTCCTGGGAGGCCGTATCTTGGGCCACTACCCCTTCGTCATTCCTAACCCGAGGGGTGGGGTTTCCGAAGGGGTGTGGCAGAGGGGGAAGTATGATGTTCTCCCCAACCTGGGGTTGAGCCGGAGCCAGGGTGCCGAAGGCACCTGGGTTCTGAGTGAGCGTCTGGATGAAGGCGGAGAGCGCCGAATGAACGTCGATGGTGAGAACCGAAGGGCTGATTTGGTCATCGCTCCGGTTCTTCTTCTTGGCCTCGATGCCGAGGCGGGCATCGGGGGCATTCTGCTGGATCTGAAGGCGTAGGTCGACAGCCGCCTGTTCCAGCCCAGCGATGACACCGCCCTCGGGAGCTCTGTGAAAGGCTTCGGGGGCGTTGACGTCGCCGAGGGCCAGGTTCTTGTCTTCTACGTTTTTGGAGTTGGCACGTGTAGTTCTCACCATTTTGGTAGAGGGCTAGTGCTTGGTGAAGGGGGAGGGTTTCTTACTTGATAGTTCGAGCTTTCAACGAGAGCACCAAATGATGGATAGTGTACCCGGGGGGTAGCCTATCCGAGGGGTTATTACGGGGAGTAATAAGAGAGTCTGTGGCGTTGTAATTTGGGCCTGTTGGGCCTTCTGGGCCTGTCGGGCCTTTACTGGAGTAGTAGGAGTCTGTGGGCCAGGTGTTCCCGGGCCATATACTCCATCACACTTGTTTTGGCTGCATTGGCTGAAGTTACTATAGATGACCACTTTAGCTTTTTTCATATAATTTTTTCTTTATTTTATTAATAAAAAATATTTTTAATATTTTTTTTCAAAGATTACCAAAATCAACAAATACAGGCACTTCAACCAGAATTTCATAAATTTCAACACAATCGGCTGATTCAGTGTTACCAAACAGACTCTCAACAAGGCAAAAGTTTACGTGTATATGCAGATGTGCCTTTTTATGTACGGAGTACAAGACTATTTGTTGCTAAAATACATTAATAAACTTTCAATTGTTTATAGAGCCTGTTCGGTGACCCTGTTTTTCAACTTATCAATCAAATTTTTCACCAAACATTGTGTAATAATAAGAAAAATTACTTTTCTGGTTGTATATGTTGAAGTTACTATAGAGAATCATTTTAGTTCTTTTTTCATATAATATTTTCTTAATTGTATTAATAAAATATATGTTAAATATAATTTTTTAATAAATCAACAGAAACAGCTCATCCAGCCATTTCAGCAAAACTTCATAAATTATAACAAAAACAACCAATACAGGCGTAATTATTAAACTTACAGGCGTTCCAGATCCAATACAGACGATTTGAGTAGTTCGAAACGAACTCTTGATAATTAAACTCTTTGTTTTGATTTCTTATTACAGGCGTTTGACTTTGACCTACCATCCCAATTTTTGGAATACGGATATAATGAAAGATAAAATCTTTTTTCTTTTATGAGATAATTACCCTAGGTGTGACTAAAACTTATTCACTTTCTCAATATGATCTAACTAGTTTTTTTACCAAAATAATATTAAAATTCATAATATTTAATTAAAATTCGTTATAAATAAATAAATACATAATTTAGGTGGACAAATATATCCTTTATATCATATCTATAAATCCCTAAGTTCCTAATCTTTTCTCCAACCCTAGCCTCCATTCTCACACCTCCACAGATCAACCTGTTTTCTGCCGCATGCCCCCTGCCGCCGCCGCTCCATGGCACACCGTCCGCCGCCGCTCCGTGGCCCGCAGCACAGCCACCTACTGTCGTCTCAGGCCGTTCTCTGTAATCTTCGTCTCTTTCTCAATTACGTTCTCCGTCAGATGGAGATGGTGAGATGGAGTAAGGGTCGTGGCTAAGTGGGTCCCCACCCAGAGTTCCGATGGCGAAGAAGCAGCGGAAGAGGTTAGAGAGAGCTTCGGTGGAAGAATCTTGGTGGTCGTCCATTCGGTGGAAGAATCTTGGTAATCTTGGAAGAAAATGTGTTGGTCGTTCTTCCTCCTCCGTGAACAGTTGCTGGTTGGGCATTGAAAATGAACATGTCAATAAATCTTGTGTATGGGGCTATGGGCAGTGGGCAGTAAGGCAATAAATCTTGTGTATATGGGCAGTGGGCAGTAAGGCATGTTTTTTTTGTGTATGGGGCTATGGGCAGTAGATAAATAATATGGAGTATTATACATGGCACTGAATAAATACATTGAACAAGTTTATTGTGCAGTGATAAAGACCAGTAAGGCAGTGAGACAGAGTAATAATGCTGTCATGAAATGCAATATACTTAATTTGACGTAAAATAATAAAATGATTAAATCTATAAAAGAAATTTCTCAAGTGAATGAGAAGAGAATTAATTTTAGCAGAAGTGCAATGATTATTATAGGATGTGCAGTAAAGTCATGCATTAATTTTGTGCAGTAAGGGCAATATATAAAATGCAGTAATTTTAATTAGACGAAATTAGTGCAAAATGCACATATTTTAAATAAGGGTATTTTCGTCATTAAACCTTTAAATATAAACGATTTTTTTTTTTGGGATTTTCGGTCATACAAAGGTATAAAAACTAATTAGGTCATAGATCGGGAAACTCATTGAGTTTTAGTCATATCTTAGGGAATTTCCCTTCTTTTATTGTGTAAAGTAAAACTGTGATGCTTTCAAATTTCATAATATACGACTCATATGGCATTGAAATAATTTTAAATCTATATTAATGAAAAAGATCATTGATCATTAATTCTGGATCGTGATAAGTTCAGATCAGCTCTTTTACTTCCATCCTTTTCGTTTTATGCGCTACTTACTTTCATTATTTAAAATATATATACAGTGTTACAGTACATGCTCTTATCAATTATCATTATAGTCGAAGTAACTTTTAATAAACGAGCTTGCTGCGGTTTATTGGCAAGGCATGGTCACATGGCTCCTGGTACGTACCAAGTTCCAACAATTTATAAGTTAAGAAATACTCCGTATATGATACACTCCTAGGGCTGGACAAAGTTCCAGATCCATAATCGGACCGGACCAAAACATGTTGGGTAAAGAAACTGAAGCGACATTCATTTTTTGGTTCCAAACTTGAACCACCGAACCAGAACCTGTTTACTTGATTAAAGTTCCGGTTGTTTAAAGTTCCGGTTCCACCGTTACCCCGGCTTGGAACAGGATGGTCAAGAACCAGACTGTAACCCGACCGAGTCCACCCTTATGCATTCCTGTGAAATTAATAGGGTTTGGAAAGACTAATTTGTGGTAAAACTAAAAATATAATGAGGGAAGTGACAACCATGCCCCAATAATAACCCCGGGTCAAAGTTTTCGAGACAAACTATCTTGCCTTGTTCATGAATCAACTATCAAGTCGAGCTTAACTTTTTTCATCCAACAAACAAGCTGAGCGCCTAAGTGAGCCAGGCTTGTTTCTGTATAACACCTAATCGAAGCTAGGTAAGGGTTTATTTAGAACACTGCACATAGGCCCATATTGTGGCTCCAAATCTTTATTCATTTTTTTAATGAATAGGGTAAACTGTTACTACCCCCTTTCCTATTATAACTTCCAAATAGGTTTGACACACAATTTAAGATAGTGGGTATTGTGTGGTGGAGAGTTGTGCAGAGGAGAGAGAAATGTGTAAGAAATGTTGTGAAACACGAATTCTTTACCAAAAACGGAAAGTGGAAGTTTTAATTGGAACTGAAGAAAAAGAAAAATTGGAAGTTATAATAGGAACGGAGGGAGTACAAAATTTTATGGAGTTCACTATGACTTTATTATGGAGTCACTGGCTTATTTACCTTTATCGTGACAATTCATTTTCACAGTGAGGTCATTCACTACGGAAAAAATTGCCAAGCTTCATCCTTTTTCCTGTTAAAAGGAAAAAACAATGACTGACCTTGTACTCCATAAAATCCAAAAAGGGAAGTATATGAGGCGGAGAAGGACCCAAGACAGGACAAAAAGAACGAATGAAAAGCTCGCAAGAGCTTCGGCAATAAGGTTTGAAGGATAGAATAGATTCAATGTCTTTATTCTTTATATTCGCTCAATTTATTTATTTATTTATTTATTTCTATAATGTAAAGACTAAGATATCGGTAATTCTGTGTATATATGTATTTGTTAAAAATAATTAATCCGATTTCATTTTCCATTGCATTTCCCAAAACAAATTCAAATGTAAGAAAATAGTGTTGCTTGAGATTTTTCCCTTTCCCTAGGATTTCTGAGTACCTAAGGGTGTATTTGGGAGTTGGGTTTTGGAGAGGAGGGGGAGGTTGATGGGGGTTATAACACTCCTTTTCATGTTTGGGAGTTTATAAAACTGGAGGGGTGGTTTTGGAGGGCTTTCATGATCCTCCAAAACCCTCTAAATGCCTAATTTTTAAGTTCTCCCAATTTGGAGGGTTTTGAAGGATAATTAATGAAATTGTAATTTAAGCTCAATTAAAAATAAATATAAGTTCAATTATTTAAATTCGTCATATCTCAAAGTAATTTTTATTATAATTCATTCAAAAACTCTCTTCTTCCAAATTTATTACTCCCAAATACAAGGAAGTGCTTCTTCAGCCTCCCCTCCCTTTCCCCTCCAACAACATACTAAAGACTTCCCCTCCCCTTCCCTCCGAACTCCCAAACATACCCTAAGGGACCCTAAAGGTATGTTTGGATCCTAGAAAATGCTAGGGAAAAGAAGGTAAATGTTAAGAGAGTTATTTTCTTGTGCTTAGTTTTAGTTCGGAAAAAGCCAAGGAAAAAAATGAATAATGTTTTTATAAAACCTTGCACATGGTTAAATTTCCTAGGTCTAAATACAATAAAAATAAGTAAATAAAATGATTTTGAAGAAAATAGTAATAACAGAAAACTCTTACTTGTATTTCTGGTCCCCAGGCCCTACCCAGAAACATTTTGTTTTGGTGAACCAAGGCTCGTTATAGGTAACAACAACTGCAAATACTTCAGCTGAAAGATAATAGAAAATATGAAACGTCTCGCAATGCTCTGCAATGCATATTGTAAATTAAGACTTGGTTTGATTGCCCAAAAAGGTGTATGAGAGAAAATCTCATGGAAATTAAAAGACAGGGATACAATGTACCATCAACTGTATGTATACTGTATTGTACAGTTTTATGTAACAATTTGGAGCCCGTTTGGTAACACTAAAATTGGCTGAATTGGCTGATTCTGCTGAAATTTATGAAGTTCTGGCTGAAGTGGTTGTATTGGCTGATTCTGTTGATTCATGAAAAAATTATATTTAAAATATTTGTTATTAATAAATTAAATAAAAAATTATATGAAAAAATAGCTAAAATGATCATCTACAGTAACTTCAGCCAATGCATCCAAAAAAATAACTTCAACCTTACTTTTTATGCTTATTACAAACTTCAACGCAAGAAATCAAAAGTTACGTGTTTGGTGAAAAAGCTGGCTGATAAGCCTGATAAGCCGAAAAAAATGGTCACCAAATGGGCTCTTGGTATCTTGGTGCCCCAACTTCTTAGAAATGATGACATGATGTGGAAGTTCCTTTGACCTTCTATAGCCAATTTATTCTTATGTGGTACCTTGAAACACTTCCTTCTGTCATGCCAATCCCAAATGCACCATCCTATCTTGTATTACACCAGAGTATTGCTTTCTACTTTTCAACATAGTTCTACATTTTAACTACAGTTGTTTGACTTGTTTCTAAGTTACTCATATACCTAGTATTTGATATTCAAATAATTTAAGAGAAATCTAATGTGGTAGGTGAGATACCACAGATTGTGTTTTGTAGGTTTTATGGCATATAAGTGTGTTTAAGGGTGCCATGTAACTATGCAAGATAAATGTGCTATGAAATATACAACATGCCTTCATCAGCATCATCTCCAAATAGATGAGGAACAGAATTGTTGCATACTTGCATATATGAGTATGAGAACCCAAATCTTAGAATACAATAAAATTTGAGTTCTTGAACATGAACTAAGCTACTAGCTCATTTAAACAAGTGCCTTGGCATGAGGAGGAAATTATTTTGTCATTACAAATTCTGTTGTGATTCTACTCCCTGTGAACCATGAAAGCTTTTTACACAAATGGAGTTCTAACCTCAAAGATGCAAAATAGAAGAGCCAAAATCATGAAAAAGATCATATATTCCTAAGTGTTAAACAAGACAAAAAAACGTGTGTATTCCAAAATAGGTTCCAGTGTTTTTATTACTTAATAAAGGAATAAACACGACAACCCTATTTTGGAATTTACAAACTTTTTAACTCTTACTCCTGGAATTTCCCCTTTTTGTTTGTGATACACGAAGCAAGAGTATAGAATCAATGACATGTTCAGGAAAGTCCGAAGTAATGATACGAAACACTACTTCAAACAAGAACCTATCAAGCAAGAATCTGATAGTGGGGAAGAAGAGAACGAACATCAGAAGCAATGCGAGATCTTCATAGCTTGGGTAGGATTCGTGTTCCCAATCATTCCAGCCCACCTTTTCCAGTATGCCCATTATCCCAAATTTCCACAAAAAAGATTCATAAATTGAATCCTACTTAACTTTTTTATTTTTTATTCTTGTGCGTGTTAAAAACGGGTCTGGAAGTTCATCGTTGGCGACGGAACAACCTGAGGGTACTTGCAGACAGAGGGTGGTCGAGCGGGTTGGATCTACGGAATAGCAGGACTGCAGAAGGGGCCACACTTAAATGTGTGAATAGTATCATTCAAATGAATAAAAAAAATACACTCACAATAAAAAATAAAAAAGCATAAAATATACGGGTGGGCGTAGCTCAATTGATAGCGGGAAGTGCCACAAGATTAAGTTACGGGTTCGAATCTCGACAACTGCGATGAATAGAGTATATCAAAGGGGAGTGGAGTATATCAAAGGAAGATGAAAAGTAATGTGAAATTCCAAAAAAAAAAATTGTTTTTTGCTAAATAAGAGTACATAAAGTGCATCCTAAAAGTATACTTCTATATCTTAGCATTGTCGAGAACCAGTATAACAATGTCAATATCATATTTGGTACTCCCTCCGTCCCTAAATTATCTTCAAACTTTCCTTTTTCGTCCGTCTCAAAATTATCTCCTCTCCCCCCTTTTAGCAAAAAATTTGTGGTTCACAACCATTCTTACACATTCTTACACATTTCTCTCTCCTCTGCACAATTCTCCACCACACAAATCCCACTATCTTAATAAATGTGCCCAGCCGAAAAGGGAGAAAGATTAGGGACGGAGGGAGTACTAATAGTATTTTTCAAAAGAGATATACGCATATTTTAGCTATGAACATTATTTTTACTCAAATTTAGAACAATTTCTTATAAAATGCCTTGCACACATAATTGAGCTCAGGCCAAGTTAAACTCGAGTAGAACCACATTCAAACTTGCTCTTAAAGGTGATTCGTCCCCATGAACTCGGACTTAACTTATTAAAGCAAATGTTCAGCCTTACGTTAAATCAAAATAAGTCATTAAATATATAGAAAATAATGTGGTGATATTTTTGAATTTGACTATTTCTCCCTAGTTTTTTAATTAATACTCCCTCCGTCCCGTAAAGAACTTCCCGGTTTGACCTACACACATATTAAGGAAATAAATTTACAAGGGGGTAAATTTTACTGTTTTGACACTGTTTCGACATTGTTTGGCATTATTTAACACTGTTTTGCACTGTTTGGCATTGTTTTGATGTATATAACTTCCCATTTAGGGAAATGGGAACTTCTTTTTGGGACTGCTAAAAGGAGAAAGCCGGAAGTTCTTTGCGGAACGGAAGGAGTATTAGTCATTGACTTCAAACATGAATGGGAAAAGGTGCAAGCTAACGAGCTCGACTCAATCAAAATAAATAAAGACTGGTGATTTTAAACTTTGAACGGTCATTTTAGCAGTATTTTGCACTCTGACCCTAATGTTATTTAAAACTTTATCATCTTTGACTATTTAAGTCATGACAATAAACTTTGACTAATGATTTTAACTAGTATATTTTTGTAAAAGATATATGTTTCATACTTTTACAAAGGTACTTTTTAAAAACAACATTTTCATATCATTTTTATATTATAAAAGAATTTAAAAAATGTATAGTTGGTCAAAGTTTATAGCCACTCTAACACTTCTCCACATAAAACCTAGCGGCAATGCCACAAAGCTTTCTTCGTCGGTGATTTTAGAGTTTTCAAAGATTATTTTCTTTCAACCTCAACGGAAATGCATAGCATGAAAGGTGAGAAGGTGAGTATGATGCAAACCCTGACTAGAGGTCTTACCTCAGTCGCGAGAGGTCGTGTTGTCATGACCAGGACAATGACGAGCAACGACTTAAACACGTACGAGGGGCAACAAGGGTTGGGGAGCGGTGGGTTTGGCAAAGGTCATAGTTTGGACGGCGATGGAAGATCAATCACAACTGTTGGTCTATCCCATAGGTTGAACGGGGTGCTAGGGTTCGAGAAATTTATCCTATTGATTATTGTTATTTTGTTGCTTAGATTCTTGTTAAAGTATATGTCGCTAGGTTTGTCGGAAAGATTGAAAATTTAGCTCATTTTTATGTCGTTAAAAGTCCATGTTGGTCTATCCCACATGACAAGTGATAGAGGTGTCAAGCTCGTTTCATAGTTAGCGATTCATGTTGCTTTTTCATGAGTGCCTGTTTTATGCCCATTTTAGCAATTCATTTTTTAATCATGTGTTTCACTGTTGTAGCTGGCGGAGGTTAGTTGATATAAATAGAAGATTTTCTTTCGAAAAAATGTTGATCGTCACTAACAAATGATATAAATAAAGAAGATTTTCTTTCGAAAAAATGTTAATCGCCACTAACAAAAAGTTCAAAGATGACAAAATTTTAATGGATATTTAAAATAAATTTTAAATATAATTTTTTCATAATTCAATAATTTGAATGATAATTCCATGAGTTGTTAATTTATTCGATTTGAGTATTAACAAAACGATCTTCACATGTAAGCCATCCTTTTTTCCCTGAAATTCCAAGCATGAAAATGTTCAAAGTAAGTTGAGCCCAATATTCAATATTGGATGTAACTACAATGCAACCAACCCTTTATAAACGAGGCCCATGCCTTACCCGCCAATTTCAACTGTCAAATTCACCGACTCTAGAGTTTTCAGTGTGGTAGTGTACTGTACTTTCACCTCCTTTGTTCCTTACCCATTTTAAGCTTCATCCTGCCAAGACCCAACAACACCCGCACAAACGTACAGCCGTTAAGCTTCCATCTCCGATGAACTCCATCGCCTTGCAAGGCGTTAATGTCTTCCAGCTTCGGCCGCACGTTCATGTTCGCCGCAGAAACACCAAGGTTTTCAAACCCAACCTCGCAGACTTCGCATGCCCTTCGCGACGATTACACATCCTCTGCCCGTGGAAAACCCCCGATTTCGAGGTTTTGTAATTTGCATTTCAATTCTTGGTGGTGAAAATGTTTTGCAAGCACTTTGATGTTATACCGTGCTTGAATTTTATTTGCAGTTTTCGGGTTATGCGCAGGTCATTCGATGCTCGATGCTGGAAGGTAGAGTCCTGGAGCTTGAGGATGCAGCTTTATTAGTTTCGACTTGTATTACTCGGATATTGCCTCCAACCTTGACACTGGACCAGGGGTTGGAGAAAATTGAGGAAGCTATTGCGGAACTGAAGGAAAACCCTCCTTCTAGCGCTTTTGGGCTGTTAAGATTTCAGGTAGTGTGGATATTCTCTGCTCACATTTAAATTTTTTAGTTGATATATTCCTATGAATTTTGTCATATACTCATATTTGTCGATCAGGATAACGAAATAGCAAACTATTTGCTTCTATTAGAGTCCAGTACATCAAATGAGACTTTTTTGTGTAAGTAGGAAATACAGGTTGAATGTTTTTTATATCCATGTGATGCTTGTACTACTGCTCAGTAGGTCCATACTTGATGGAGGAACAAGTAAGAATAACAGCTTTTAATTAATAAGATCAGAATTTCAGATTTGAATATTATCCTGCAGCTGTAAAATGAAACCATTGAGTAGAGATTATTCTAAAGATGGCTGTTCTTTCATTTCTTAGTTATAAAATTTCCCTTAAATTCTTTATGGACTTCTTGATATACTCTGCTAATGCACACTCTATATATAGGTTGCAGTGCCACCTAGTCCGAAGTCATTGAGCTGGTTTTGCTGTCAGCCAGAGACATCTGCAGTGTTCCCAGTTTTTTTTCTTTCCAAGGAGAGGGATCATCAAAGATATAAATCTCTTGCTTTGGGTAGAACCCATGGTATCTTTGGAATTGGGTCTGCAATCATCTTTAAGGACCAATCTTCATCCACTGCAGGAAGATTGAGTGAAATGGGCAGGTAGTTTTGACTCTTCATATTTCCACTAATTTGATTGCACATGCTTCTGAAATCATGATTGATCTACTTTCACTCATTCCAAGCCTTTGTAATCTAAAATATAAGTTCAAGATATAGCATATAGTAGTTTAGTTCAGTAATACCATGATAGGATTACACTGAACCAGCGCCAGACTAGATATACAGTTGTGGCAAGAAAAGGAAAATGTTCTATTTGTATCAAGTGGATGCGTGAGGCCGCACTGTCAACTGCCTCAGTTGATAAAATGGAACTACCTTTGACATCCATATTTTGTAATTGGAATATTTGGAAGTTCTCAAAGGAGATAGTATCTCTCCATCACTAAATAGAGTGGTTAGGACTTTATAAACTTCATATGAGATAAATTGGAAACACATTACTTGACATATGTGAAGTGTAAATTATAAATATTTTATTCTTTTGGTCAGGATAAAATTAACTCAAATGTAGAAGAGGGGCACACTAAATCAGCGGTTCATATTTGTGCTGTTTCCTGCTAACTTGAACAGCTAATGTGGAACAAAAAATGTTCTTTTATGAGGTCAAATGTATTTATTCCATTGAAAAAGAATTGAGGAACTTTATTGTTTTGAATCTAGCGATTCAGTACAAATATTTAGTAAAAGTTGTACCTTTATTCTTACAGGTCTAATGATGGACTTATCAATAGGGTAAAACAAAAAGAAAATGATTTTACTGATTTTGTAAAAAAGATATTTAGTAGAAGTTTCCTTTAATTCTTATTGTTCTAGTGGTGGATTTGTTAATAAATTTTAAAAACGGATTACGACATACGTAGTACTTGGCAATTCATTTTTTGACATTTTGCATTCTTTGGTAACTATGCTGGTGAATTTATATTTTTTATTCTATTCAGCTTCATGGAGAATGATAAGTTGGTACTTCTGCAGATATGTGTACATTGATCCAAAACAAATAGTGGCTTATGGAATTTTTGGTACTGGTTCTGATAAAAAGTCATCATTCATAAAGCATGAGGCTGGTTCAGGTTACTTTTTTATACCCCAGGTATTTTTTGTCTCCCCCTAATACAATTTTTCCCCCACAAATTGTATGTTTTGTTTGATATTTTCCATCTATGTTTTAAACTAAAACATGATTACATTTATGTATTGCTTGTTTTCTTGTAAATGAGCTACTTTCTACTTGTTTTCAAATGTAAATTGACAATTTTATTTATGTAGATTACTCTAGATGAGGTTGAAGGTACTTCGGTCTTGGCAGTGCAACTGGCATGGAATGATGCCTCTATATGCACCCTTGAAGAGGCTCTTCGAGCCTATGATGTCTGTCTTCTCCAGGCATTCTCTGAATCCATTCTTTACCTGCTGCTATATTTTGTTTTGTTTAAGTTTCAGCTATGACTTAAAAACTGAATTTGAACATGAAATTTTTTCACATGTAATTTTTTCATTCTTTTCAGGCCAAACAAACCTGTTTCATTAAATCAAGTGGATGCAGCAGCAAATACATCAGCAGTACTCTTCGGAAATTCAACATGACAGAGGACAAGAATATTGAAATGGTAACAAGCATCTAAAGATCTGCCCAGTGAAACCATAATTCCAACTGGAACTTCGGCATTAACTGTTCTATTATGTTTTTTATTTTTCTGCTCTAGCCCCAACTAAAAGTCAAGCTCTTCAAATCTGAAATTTAATTCTCATGTGCATTCTGATTGTGAACTGTGAGAGGTTAATTCAAATGTTATATTGCATCGTATGCTTTTCTTATGCTAAATATTTTAGTGGCTGTTGCCTCAAATTCACCCCCCTGTAATTTTCTTTTGTAGGTATGCATCAGTCCACTTGAGTTGGTTAGATATTCTCTTGGACCATGCAATTTTGAACTGGTATCTCCTTTATCCTGGTAATTATTGTTCATCTAACTTTTGAAGTCTTTCTTTTTTAAGAATCTGTTAATTTCTACTCTATTCTGCACATAGAAAATGGCCTTGTTAAACCATTTTTTTTAGTGCAGAAAGAGACTTCGTGCTGTTCCCGACAGTTCTTCATGAGGCTTTCACCCTCATTAACTATTGCAAATGACATGGTATGATTATTTTCGAAGGATTGATTGCTGGAATGAATTACTATTTTATAAGCTTACTGTTATAATAATTTATTTCTTCGAGAGTCATATTATGTGAATATCTGTTACAGTATCCCTATTGCGTGTTTGATGAGCAAAATTGAAGAGCTTTTAGTAATTCGTTGAATGAAATCCTGTCTCTGATGGAAGAAGTCCTTATATACCACACTATGTATATAAATGGCATTGCGCTGGTGTCTTCATTACATCACTAGAAAATTCTTTATGTAGTGTGCTATTAGAGACCCCAGAGTTTTCATTTGAAAGTAGAGCTAGGGATTCACCGTATTCTCCCAAATAGGATTGAAGCAATGGAAGTAGCCTATAGAATTTCATTGAACACGAGTAAACTCTTTCCTGCTCTCCTCAAATATATCCCTCCCAATAATATTTTCCTGTTTAAATATCCATAAATATATGCCACCAGACTCCCTCCCTTTTTATCAATCGTAATTCATAACCAAGGGAATATAATCATTTGGTATTCCTGGCTTACTGCATCACTTATGAGTACCCGTCTGTCCAACATCACTTGTTTACCAGGTTCAAGTCTAGCATATAAGCGTGAACCTCACCTAATGGGAATCCTTTTAGTATGTGTTAGACCAAAAGGAACACCCTTCATCTAAATGGAACATGCCCTTACATTTAGTTTAGTCAAGAAACTCGAAAAGTTCTCTCCACGTGAAATGTTGGGATATCTTGATGTCTTACCAACCGAGTAAAACTACGGGTGTTCTCTAAATGCACTAAATGCAGCATAAGCAGCCTAAATAAACATAAGATACATACACTGCAATCTGTATCTATATTATCTGACTTTAGGTGGTTATTCTTTTAACAAAAACACAGTTACTGACAGATCTTTTTTTTGGGGGGGGGGGGGGGGGGGGCAGTGTTACCTTATTTTGAATTTGAGCTGTATTTTTATCCCGTTCTGCTTCTTACCTATAATTTGAGCAAAGCTTGCACTTTGTTTATGTCTGTATTTTCTGTTGTGACTTGTGGTTGTTGAGATGAGCTTTAGAAAGCTCACCTTGTTAGGTTAAATCTAGTAAGCGAGGTTATAAGAGGATAGAGTAATTGGGTCTGGTTACTTGCTTCCAAAAACATTTATATATCACTCATTTTCTTTCACATATCTTTTAAATTGGGTAAATAGGTAATGATAAGCTAACTTGTCTCTTCCATGACACATTTATCTCAGTTAATTTCTTAACAATGATGTTCACTCTAGAAGAATATTCTGCCAATACCTAATTAGTGGTTAGTCTCATTTGATATGTATTAGATACTTTGCTTGTTCTATATCATATCATAGCGTTGGCATAGACAATTACTCAGCCATTTCACATTTTGGTTGTTCTCCAGAGTCACTACAATAATCTAAATGAAGTTGAGTACCTAATGCAAAAATGTGACAACATTAATTTCTTGTGGGCATCTCTTATAATTGAAGAATGCAGCCGACTTGGCTTAATGGTGAGGCTCCTTCTTCAGTAATCAATTTTATATTATTGAGTTACAAACATCTAATTAATTATACATCTAGTATTTTTGTATAGCTCCAGGATCGAGGTCATCTCCCCTAGCAATTGCCGCGTCTACTCATCCAACTACAACATGTATTTCATGCATAGATGAGCGCTCCCTTTCATTTCATGCTGTTGGTTATGGCAAAGGTTCTCACAGACCAGCGGTTGTCATAACATCATCTGGCACAGCAGTTTCAAATCTTTATCCTGCTGTGAGTTTAGTTGTATATTAGCGCTTTTAATTTATTTCTTCTTTTACAAGTGTTTTTTGGTTCTCTGTTTCAGGAAAAAAAAATTATACAAAAACAACAACATCCTAGCCTTAGTCCCAAAAGATATTGGGGTTGGGTAACATGGATTGATACATGATGTCGGAGGCAAAAAGAAATGAAAGATAAAAAGATAAAGTATGATAAAAAAGACAAGATAAAGATAAATATAAGATAAAGATAAAAATGTTAAAATAGAAACGATAGAATGAATATATATAAAATAAAAAGGATAAAAGGATAAAGAACATAAGAAAGATAAAGAAGATAAATAGATAAAAGGATAGAAAAAGGTGAAAAGAGTTCAATCCTTCACTTTACTCTCTCCAAAGTCATGCTCTCATCCAACCCAAGAAGAAGCATATCACTCCCGACTCCTCTAATCCAACCCAATAAAGATCATAAAATATATTTTATAGCTATAACATGAATATAGCTATAACATATTCCGATGCCAATTCATGTTTGCCGACCCCAAACTCTTTTGGGATTAAGACTTGGGTGTTGTTGTTGCTGTGTAGCTATAACCTACTTTTAGATTGCTCTGTTTATACACTGTCTATATTGCCTGAGGTGATAATTTCTGCTCTAGGTATCTGTCGTAGAACACGAATTTCGCAATTGTTCCAGTGTGTGACTGTCATTGTGATAGTGCACTTCAGTTTCAGATGATCACTCCACTACTCTTGTGACTATCTTAGGTATATTGTTTTTTTTCCTGCACTAACCCATGGTAATTTGCAGATTGTTGAGGCAAGTCAAGAATTTGTCCCTCTCCTTGTACTTACTGCAGATCGTCCTCCAGAGCTGCAAGATGTTGGAGCAAACCAAGCCATCAATCAGGTTCCCCCCAAATAATTTGATGTATGATAGGCTCTTCTCTATTAACAGTTATGAGCACACTTGAAATGATCAAAATCAGACATCCAGTAAGAGTTTAATACACGGGGTTGATAAATTCCTACATTAAAAGTATGTAGCTAGGAGCTGAAAGTTGAAAAGTCTAAGTGGTGCTGGAAGTGTTTGGTAAAATTAGCGTACGAGTAGCTAATTTAAGTAACAAAACATAAAAGTGCATTCCTTATATTGACTATAGATGGATAAAAGTTTTTTTTTGCTGTAAAAGAATAGAGCTGCTAGTGGAATTTAATAAATGCTAGGAGCTTATTTTTGAAATGGTAGGAGATGTTTTTTCAAATTTAGCTCCTTTTCAATTTACCAAACCGGACTAATAATTTAATTAGAGCTTAAAATAAGCTACAAGATCCAAAACCAGCTCTACCAAACAGACACTCAGATAGCAGAAACATCTACAAGTTGAGATATGCTGCTTATACTTGGCTCGTCATTTTAATTATCCTTATAATGCTGAATGTTTGCAATTTGCTGGACTTAAAACCATCATTCGACATGGAAAAATATTTTGAAACATGGAAATCTATTGATTTGAATTCAGTTTTTCTCCAACATAAAGATATATAAGTTAAATATTCACATTTTTAATGCTTCAATTGATTTGCAAATTTAAGTGCGTGAGATTGTACCTGATTTTGTGTATCAGGTCAATCACTATGGTCGATTTGTAAGACACTTTTTTAGTTTCCCTACTCCAAGTGATGAGGTTTCTGCAAGGATGTTGCTTACAACAGTTGACTATGCTGTTCATATCGCAACCTCTTCGCCATGTGGTCCTGTCCATATCAATTGCCCATTTCGTGAACCACTAGATAGTAGTCCAAAACCATGGGAACGTAGTTGTTTAAGTGGGTTGAATGTTTGGATGTCAATGGCTAAACCATTTACTTACTACTTTCAAGTCCAACATCCATTTGATTGCAGCTATGTCGACAGCGATATGGCTGAGGTTTTGCAAGTGATACAAATGGCAAAAAAGGGCCTTTTATTGCTTGGAGCTATTCATGGAGAGGATGATGTGTGGGCAGCTCTTCTACTAGCCAAACACCTTTCATGGCCAGTTGTAGTTGACATATTGTCAGGTCTACGATTGAGGAAGTATATTGATCATATTTCTGAAATTGACAATGAAGTCTTGTTCATTGATCATCTAGACCATTTGCTCCTCTCAGATTCAGTCAAAGACTTCATGCAAGCTGATGTCATAATTCAGGTGATATGCTGATAACATCTTTATTTTCTATGTGTGGTATGATGAATTCTCTAGTTTTAACTTAAGTGAAGCCCCATAAGGAAAGACTATATGAATTTCTTAACTGGCCTTCCTGGTGGAGAAGTATTTTATGTAAATACCCTAATAAAATATGCTTTAATAAGTGTTATAATGTATTTCTCATATAGTCCTGACACCTGACTCCTTTGCAATATGTTTTTGATCAAATTTCATAATCATCATCATCATCATCATTTTGATTCACATATTCATCATTGTGTGTTCTATGAAAAGTAGTCAAATAGATAATTTAGTGTTTTGTGTTGTAACAGATTGGAAGTCGTATTACAAGTAAGCGCATCTCAGAAATGCTAGAGAGTTGCTTTCCATGCTCATATATTATGGTTGACAAACAACAAAGTCGCCACGATCCTATGCATATTGTGACACATAGAGTTCAGAATATTATTCATTTCAGTAACTATATACTCAAAGCTTTTGTACCACATACTGGCAATCAATGGAGACGCTTTCTGCAAACACTGAATACCATGGTATGCAATTCACAGAGTTTATACCGCAAAACCACTTATTCTAAGATTGAAAGTTTGTCTAGTTGATCTGTATTAATGTATTATCTATTCAATAAAGTATTTGAAGGGGAGCCTGTGGTTATGGTGTTGCTGTGTGACCAAGAGGTCATGGGTTCAAGTCTTGGGAGCAGCCTCTTGTCAAAATTTGGTAGGGGAAGGCTTGCCCTGTATACACCTATTGTAGTGGGACCCTTCCCCGGACCCTCATCTTACAGTGATGCCTTTGTGCACCGGGTTGCCCTTTATTCAATAAAGCATCTAATGTACAAGCAGAACATTATAATAAAAATCCTTGCTACCTTTTTGCTCGCTCTAGTAAAAATATAATGCAATGCCTGGTAAGCTAACAATCATGATATCAGGGCTTAGGAGAGCCATTTATCATGATATCACCGATTAGTAAACAGTCAACTTATTATAGAATTAAGATTAAGTGATACACTTTGTCATCCAGAATCCATATGTCTCTTTTCTTCAATTGTTTTGGTCACCTTCTCTCTCATTGCTACAGGCTGACTGGGAGATATCCTTACAAATCACTTCTGAGAACTCTCTGACTGAACCTTATGTTGCACACACCATTCTGGATGCTATTTGCTGTGAATCTGCTATCTTCTTTGGAAACAGCATGCCGATTCGTGATGCTGACATGTATGCACGGAATACACCAGAAAATTACCATAATTTGGCTATCAAGTTGGGCTCAAGATCATGTCACTACATACAAGTTGGTTCTAATAGAGGAGCTAGTGGTATTGATGGCTTGCTAAGCACGGCCATTGGTTATGCTGTTGGCTGCAACAAAAGAGTGAGAAACCCACGTTCTCTTTTCCTGCTAAATAGAAATGTGGACATATTTTCATTTTAGTGATTTCTCAATCGTTTCCAGTCTATTCTGTCTGTTGATGTCCTGTGTAAGGGAATGAAATATACTTAATCGCTGACTAGTTTTTTTTCTCCCTTTCTTTCATCTAGATGAGAAAGTTAATACCTTTGTTTTCTTCTACATTCCTAGTTGTTTCTTTAAGTATAGAAAGCATGAAGACGCAGTTTGTCATTTTCTCATGCCAACGATCCTCATCTTGTTGCCCTGCAGCTGCTTGAGGCAATTGAGAAACTAGAACCACTTACTCTTTGTTTACATTGACAAATTCCACTAAATTTTATTTTTACAGTGAGCCTAAGCACAATGTTTTTTAAGTTGACTCTGCCTTGTTTCTGTGTTTGCAGCATTTTCTCATTTTCTTGCTGTTGGCAGCATTTGCACCTGTGAATTAATAAGTTATATGTGCTTGTTTGCAGGTAATTTCTGTACTTGGAGATGTTTCTTTTCTGCATGACACAAATGGATTGTCCTTGTTGAGAAAACAGTAAGTTTGTTATCACTTCCCTTGACAAGATCTGCCACATTCATGGTTAATTTCATGAGAATGGATGATGGCTTGTGTTTTTATTTGCTATGCTCAATCATTCAAGGGCTAAAGGTTAGAAGTTCAAATCTCTTACCCCCCACAATTATAATAAATTACAAATTTTTGTTAACAAGAACACATTTAGGGAAAGAGGTCAGAATGGGACAACCGAATCAGGGGAGTTGGCAAAGTTTAGTGGGATGGAGGAAGTATTAGAATTTGTAAAATTAGGATGGCAAAATGAACTGCCAAATGCTTCTTTTTTTGTTCTTTTGTTATCACCTTTTCTGTGCAAGTAAATTTAGAGGAATTTGCAAGTCATTTTTAGAATTTTGTCGATTCGGTGTTCTACTCCAACTCTTCCTTTCTTTGTCTTAACCCAGTTTTCTTGATGAAGAATGCTGTAGTTTGTGTTTCTCTAATTTTTTAGGTCATTGATTGTTCATCTTTAAAACAGCAGTTTCACATTTTTCCTTATGCTTCTTTGCATCCAGAGAAGCTAATTCTCCAATTTTTTCTCATCACTTCAAGCCAACTTCTTGTATTGAAAGAAAGTTTTTTGGCTCATACATTAAACTGACTATTGTTTCATGTCACTTATCATATATCGAAGCATGTATTACATTCAAATATCAACATATCAAGACAATTCGCCTCTTGGACTGAGGGGATGGGGAGGGTTGTCTTCCTCTTGCTTTGGGATGGTGCGTAAATAAAATTGGAGGATTTATTCCTATTGAGGTACACACATTTTATTAGACATCAATTAAGCCTGCATTAATGTATGATGTAGAGTGTTGGGCGGTGAAACAATGTCACATTCAAAAGATGTGTGTGGCAGAGATGCATATGTTGCGTTGGATGTGTGGACATGCTAGAAAAGACTGCTTGAGGAATGAGATAGTTAGGAAAGAGGTGGAAGTAGCACCTACAAAAGATAAGGTACACGAGTCTCAATTGCAGTGGTTTGGTCATGTGCGTAGAAGGCCGAGTGATACACCTATTATAAGAGTTGAGAGGTGGGGAGGAAGGGAGAGGAAGACCCACACAGACGTGGATGAGAGGAATGAGGAGTGATATGCTTCTTCTTGAGTTGGATGAGATTATGGGCATGGCTTTGGAGAGAGCAAAGTGGAGGTCGAATATTCGTGTGGAAGATTAATCTCTTCTCTCTCTCTTTTATCTTTTTATCTTCTTTATGTTTCTTAAGTTCTTATTTTATTTTTATCTTTTATCTTTCTTATGTTCTTTTATCTTATATTTATTTTTATCTTTATCTCTTTATCTTAATGTATCTTTTTATTTTTCTTATCTTTCTTTTCTTTTGGCTCCGATATCATGGACCGATTCATGTTAGCCGACCCCAAAATCTTTTGGGAATAAGGCTTGGATGTTGTTGTGTTGTTATTGATGAACTAGATAGTTATTACGAAAGTATGCCCTTGATTTTGTTGTCTTAGAATAGTTGATAAGGTGATATATTAAGTGTTACTGTCCTTTTAATTTTTGGATAGTAGTTTACAAGTTTGTGCTCCTAACTAATTAGATTTTTGTGGAATTTAAAGGATTCCACGAAAACCAATGACAATACTGGTCATAAACAACCATGGTGGTGCAATCTTCAGTCTTCTCCCTGTGGCAGCTAATACAGAAAGAAACATTTTAGACCAGTACTTTTACACATGTCATGATGTTTCGGTGCAGAACCTATGTGTGGCACATGGGTAAGATCATTGTGCAGTTGGAGCACATTATATATGAGTAAAATATAGTCAACTGCCTCTTTTTACCATTTTAAAATTGTATTTATCTAGGTGTTTCCTATTTGATTATTATTTTATATATGCAGTGTGAAGCATGTTAGAGTAAGTACAAAGATGGACCTAAGAGATGCTTTATTGACATCTAAATCACAAAATGTAGATTGTGTCATAGAAGTTAATAGCTCCATTGAGGACAATGCACACTTTCATAGGTATGATTAAAGAAATTTTATACTCAGCCAAATCTTGCTGCTGCATTTCTCTGATCATACATTTAATTCTGTTTTAGTACTTTGAGAAAATTTACAAGGCAAGCAATGAATCATGCTATGGATAGCCTTTCAAGGATTTCAATTCCAGATTCGATATTTAATGGCTCTGTGCTCTACGAAGTTGGTAAAATGGAATATTCACTTTACAGGTGAGGTTACAAATATCAAATTGATATATGGTCAGAATCCAAAATAATAATTTTTTGAAACTGTTTTATAATAGAGTTCAGCTGTGTTCGCCTCCTACTTCAGCTTCAGCCAACAACAAATCTTCTGCCTTCTTCCGAGAAGGCTTTATAATAAGTTTGTCACTTACTGATGGTAGCATTGGCTTTGGAGAGGTGAACTTACTATTAGCTTTGCACCTTTTTTTTTTGTTTAGGAGTGGGGCATTTGTTTGTGTCATGGATATCCTTTGAAAAACTTATGATTTATAGCTAAATATTTATTCGGCAAAAGAACAAGGAAAATTATTGTGTTCTGTTTGAGTACTGAGGAAATATGGTTTATGTCAAAAATATCTATATCTATCATCTTTCTATGATGAAGCTGGTATTGCAGCTCTCCAACATTGATATCAAGCTTTATTAAAATCAAGAAAACTTCTCTTTTATTTGTTCTATGTGGCACTACTAAACAGGTTGCACCTCTAGAGATTCACAAAGAAAACCTGTTTGATGTTGAAGAGCAACTCCTATTCCTCACTCACACTATAGGAGGCGTAACAATCAAACAATTTCTTCCTTTGTTGAATGGTTTATTCTCATCTTGGTTGTGGCATAATTTAGGAATTCCGGTATGTACATGTATCTTTATTATTCACCTAACGAGTAACGAGGCCAAGTGCAATCACATGCTATACTGTATGGTATTTCTTTTCTAATAGGTTTCTCTTTTCAATTCATTTGTAGACCGGTTCAATCTTTCCTAGCGTCCGATGTGGCCTGGAAATGGCTGTCCTCAATGCTATTGCAGCTAGTGAAGGTTCAAGCTTGTTGAATATATTATGTCCTCAAACAGTGGAGTTTCCTGGGAGCTCATTATTAGATGTCAGAATTTGTGCACTTCTTGATTCTAATGCCCCCCCTGAAGAGATTGCTAGTATAGCAGCTGATCTTGTTAACGAGGGGTTTGCAGCTTTAAAGCTAAAGGAAAGATTATTTATCTATCTATTTATTTATTTCTTTTATTGCCATAGCAAGGTGATTGTTACACTTCTTCAACAGAGGAAATGAGCACAACCTGAAAATTGTGTAATCCATTTAATCTTATTGATTTATCCAGCATTTTCAGAGACATATTCCTAGAACTATTGCTTATACTTACTGAAATAATGAGTATTGTTCCTTTTCCTTTTATTTTGGTATAGGTTGCACGACATCATGACCCCAATTATGACGCAGCAGTTATACAAGAGATAAGAAAGAAAGTAGGCGAGGAAGTTGAAATTCGGGCTGATGCGAACAGGAATTGGTCCTATGAAGAAGCCATTCAATTTGCCCATTCTGTAAAGAATTGTTGTCTGCAGTACATTGAGGTATGAACAAATCATGCTAAATTTTTAGCTCAGCACATGTAGGAATTTACCAATTGCAGGTGCATCAGTGGAAGTTAAATGTAGAAATATTGAAGTAGATGCGAAATACTGAATTTAATATGAACTTTCTTTTATGTAAAAGTTAATCTTGATGTATATCGATTGATGGCTGGGCCTGCTTTACTCCCAGATCTGGAATGTGACATTTTTGGTACATGTATGCGCCAGTGTTTAACTTCATCATCACCTATTGGTGACATGCACTTTCTAGTGTTGGTTGTCTTAAACTTGATGCAAAGAAGTGTAGTGACAAAGCTTTACGACCGGTACCTTTCTGTCACAGCCATCTAAAGGAGGAGTACTGAAATGAAATTCCAAAACCGTCATCATCATAAGAATGCTCCAATTGCATCGAAACTTTCATGAGGCGGTGATGATTTTAGATAGTGACAATAGCCATGTCCTATTGCAAAAGTGATGTTGTAAAATCAATATGCACATCTTGGAACATGACTTTAGGGATAGAAAAGTATTGCTCCCTCCGTCCCTACATAAAAGTACTGTTTCCTATTTGGGCTGTCCCAAAATAAAGGTTACATTTACCTTTTTGGAAAATGATCCAACATACAATTCATACTTTACCCTTCCTTTTACTTAAATCTACAACTTTGTCATTCAACTTTACTTACCTTTTCACTGCTACAGTACAAGTAAAGGGCAGTTTAGTGTTTCATCCCACTTTCTTAACCTACATGCCCAAAAGTTTTGCAAGTAATATTCATGTACATGAATTTCAAGAAGGCAAATATTTTTTGGTAGCAAGCATTGAATTGGTTAAAACTTGGTTCACAACAAACCATGTAGTTCTTCTTAGTTATATGCTTACGATCAACTAGCTATATATACTACCGTACTTATGCCTTTCTGTTATAGCTTCACATTCTCAAACCATGGTGACATTTTTTGTTTATTAATTAGAAAACCATTTCAAATTTATTCCAGGAACCTGTTGAAAATGAAGATGATATTATCAGGTTTTATGAAGCAACTGGCTTACCTGTGGCACTTGATGAAACCATCAACACTGATGGAGAAAATCAGTTTGAATTGCTCTCAAAGTACACACATCCTGGGATAGTTGCATTTGTAAGTGGGTTAAGCTTATTGACTTACTGTTCCCACTCGATATGCTCCCATTCAGAACCATCTTGCTGGGTCTGTTTTTTAATTGTATGCAATAAAAAGGCATTCATCACTAGTAAAATATATCCAATCTAGGTAGCACAGTTTATCAGTCTCGAATGCCAATTTCCCCTAAAGCAGAGTTGCGTGCGGTGAGGCTTTTTATTTCTAAAAGAATTGATAAGGCTGTCCTTGCTATTTTTCTATAATTACGTGATGATAATTGTTTGGATATTTATAACAGATTTACAGAGCCTAATGCATAGATAAATCTCTGAAGTTTATTCGTCGATTTTCATAACCTATTGTAAAACAATCCTTCAAATTCCATTAATGTGAGTCACAGTGGTTAGAGACTGACTGTTGCAAAAAGTTTTCCCTCTATATCCCTCCATTCGCCCCATTTTGCGTGTCTTGCAATGAGAGACGAGATTTTAGCAATGTAATTATAAGTATTCAATGTAGATTTAGCTAATAAAAATTATGTGTTTAGTATTTAGATACACCTTCCTTTTTTGTCAATCACAGAAAAATTAACACTTCTCTTAATTTGAACTCTGCTAACTTTTTACTTTCCCACTTTATCCTATTATATATCATTTCCCTTTTTCACTTTTTATGGATCCATGTTACCTTTCTTCCTTTTACAAGGTTAAAATGGTAAAATAACAACTACCATTTTTATTTTCTTAAAACTCGTACCAAATGTAAACGTATCTTACATTTCGGGACGAACGGAGTACTACAAAACATTATATCATGCAAAAAAGGATGAATTAGTTTTTTAGGGAATGAGTGAAGAAAGAAGAGTTAATTTGACCAATAAAAGTTAATTGAGATATACACAAATGGGAGAAAGGTTCTGTCGTTAAGTGTTACGGATGCATTTTATGGAACCAGCGGGAAGTTTACTTAGAGCAGTTTAATTAGAAGAGGGAAATTATCCTGATGCTATTTTTATATTTTATTTATTACTTCCTATTAGGAATAGAAGTATTAGAGGTTACAGTTTCTATTAGATTAGAACTCCTATTAGGAATAGAAGTATTAAATGTTATAGTTTCTGTTAGATTAGAACTCTATCATGTAAAGGCAGGATGCCTATTTATATTCCTTTTTCAGCATTAATAAAATCATCGATCATTAAAGTTATTCCTAGAGAAGTCACGGACTCCCTCTCCCCCTCCCTGCGCTCTTCCAGCCACGGGCAAGAAGAAGAGCAACCCTAGCAGGCAGGTTAATACCTCAACCGGGTACCCTGCTACCCCGAGTCGTCCCTGGACCCGTTCTCAATCCCAGAACCCTAACAATTTGATATCAGAGCCGTCACGATCCATGGCGCCACAGAATGATGATTTAGCCACCATGATGAAGGAGTTTATGGAGGCTATGACTGCTAGGGTAACCGCCATAGAAGGGCAGATTGCCACTCTATCTCTGGCAGTCCACAAACGGGATTCCAAATCAACAGAAACACATGAAGAGCAACCCGATAACAGCCTGATATCACACAGCACCTCGAACCCCTGGAAACCACAGTATGCGAAGATGGAATTTCCTGTGTTTGATGGAACCTACGACCCTACCAGTTGGTTGAAAAGGTGCGAAAAATTCTTCTTGGACCAAGAAACTCCTAGTGTTGCAAAGATGAATATGGTCTCATTCCACTTGATAGATGATGCACAACTGTGGTTCGATCAGATGTTAGAGACTCAGTGGCGTCAGTGCAGCCCAATAAAGATGACAAGTATTACGGAAGAGTCTATTCTAGAAAGGGGAGAAAGAAGAATAGTTGTTAGTTAAAGTCTGTTAATAACTAATAACTGTAGGCGGTTGGATGGCTTACTATAAATAGAATAGACTGGGGAAATAAGGGGCAGGCTGTTAGACTGTTAAGTCAGGACTGGGAAGATTAGAGTTCTAGCTCTATCTTTTGGGGGCTTCGGCCATTGTAACTCTGTTTGATTTCAATAAAGCTGGTGAAGTTCTTTTGATTTCTTCTGTGATATTACTGTGATTTTTGGTGTCTCTTACATCAGATGATAGAGGAAGAAGGAAAAGTCAACTGGGAGAGGTTTAAAGAACTCTGTCTGGAGCGCTTTGGGCCCCCTTTGAGTTCTAACCCGATTGGAGATCTGAAACTTCTGATGCAGATCGGATCAGTTGATGAATATTGTGCCCAATTTCAGAAGGCCTTAGCAAGAACTTCACAAATACAGTCCACCCATCAGATTGCTTTGTTTGTCGCAGGTCTCCATCCCCACTTACGGGCTGATGTGGAGATAGCAAAACCAGGCAACCTGGGTTACACAATGAACCTTGCACGGACATTGGAAGCAAGGCAAAACTGACGCTTGCACCTGTAAAAGTCTCGGGTACTACAACAGATATGAAACAACGCAACCCGCCACAGATTAGACAAGCGCTTGTGACAACAAAGGCAGGAAATCCCATTGTTAAGCGACTCACGAAGGATGAAATGGCAGAAAGACGAGCAAAAGGGCTATGTTATAATTGTGATGAACAGTGGACGATGAATCACCGATGCAAAAGGCTTTTCTTGATCGAGATAGAAGATGATGGCTTCCCAGACTTGGAGTTGTCTGCCAACGCTATAAGTGGAACTATTAGTTCAATGGCAAGGCAGCACACCAGACAAGGCCACTTGGGAACCGTTTGACACTTTCATCACTGCTTATCCAGGATATGAGCTTGGGGACAAGCTCAGTTTCGAGGGAGGGAGTGATGTTACGGATGCATTTTTATGGAACCAGCGGGAAGTTTACTTAGAGCATTTTAATTAGAAGAGGGAAATTATCCTGATGTTATTTTTATATTTTATTTATTACTTCCTATTAGGAATAGAAGTATTAGAGGTTACAGTTTCTATTAGATTAGAACTCCTATTAGGAATAGAAGTATTAGATGTTATAGTTTCTGTTAGATTAGAACTCTATCATGTAAAGGCAGGATGCCTATTTATATTCCTTTTTCAGCATTAATAAAATCATCGATCATTAAAGTTATTCCTAGAGAAGTCACGGACTCCCTCTCCCCCTCCCTGCGCTCTTCCAGCCACGGGCAAGAAGAAGAGCAACCCTAGCAGGCAGGTTAATACCTCAACCGGGTACCCTGCTACCCCGAGTCGTCCCTGGACCTGTTCTCAATCCCAGAACCCTAACATTAAGCTTTCAGCCTCAAGATGGGCCTGGCAGCCTGGTAATCACCGTTAAGTAACTTAGTGTTGTATATAAATATATATTCAAACATAAAAATCAAAACACAAAAATAATGAAAATAAGTGAAAAAAGAAATTTGGTTTGACCAATAAATAGCAAAACATTTAAAATCTGAAAAGGGAGTATTGTTATGCACTTACGCCATCAGGCTCAAATTGGAGCCTGTTCAGTGTTGTTAAGAAAAGGATTTCAGATGAAGTCACATTTTTAAATGCAAATTAAAACTTCAGTTCAGCCAGTTGTTAAACTTTTGAGCTGCCAACCAAATATATGAATTGTTGGTAAACTGAAAAATTCTATTGATATATGTTGAGTCTATTCTTATGGATTCCTCTAACTGTAGGTTATTTTGTCATAATAATGCTCTCAGGTTATCAAGCCAAGTGTAATTGGTGGCTTTGAAAATGCAGAATTGGTTGCCCGATGGGCTCAGCTGTTGGGGAAGAATGCTGTTATCAGTGCCACATATGAAACTTCATTGGGCTTATCAGCTTATGTTCAACTCTCATATTTTATTGACCTACAAAACCAAGATATACTCCGGATAACTAATAAGGAAGTGAGGCCGTCAATTGCCCATGGCCTTGGAACTTACAAATGGTTCAAGGAAGATGTGAGCACACAGAAATTAGTAACCCGCCGTAATTCAACCAATGGCTTTATGGGGTCACCTATTGCTGATGCAGATAGACTCCTGAAGGAGTTTCAGTTCAATAAGAGTGCACTTGTTCGGGATTCTGCTCATGTTGAAGTTCAAACATATCAGCAGAAAATTTATCTAGACTGTGTCTCCATCTCTATTAATGTCCATGAGATTGGGGAAAGTGAAAATGTAGGTAACTTTAGTTGCTTACCCCCTTTTATGCATTTTTTTAAATAGTCCACTTTTGGTTCCACACTTTCATTTTCTTCACCTATGGTACGCACCTATATATTTCTTGTCACTTTTGGTCCGTCCGGCCAATTTCACACAATTTCAGGTTAATGTTTGCGGAGTAAGTGGCCGAAAGGAAATACATTGTAAGAAGCCATAGTGGAAAGAATTAAAGTCGTGGACCAAAAGTGAGCGTTCCCAAGTTAAATAGTTTTGGGACCACAGTGCTATTTTGTTCATCTTATTCTTTTTTCTTATTACTCGCTCTTATATCAGGTCAAAATTATTGAGGCCAGATCAGAATGATTTAGATCTAAATATTACGTAGTATATTTTAGAGTTTCAGACAAAAAAAATCACAAGATCATATTAGAAACGTTAAGACCAGACCATAAAAAAATTCATATTAGATAACCTTCTCTCTGGTAAAGAGAACAAGTTCTTTTCACCAAAAATGGGACAATATCTTTCCCTCAAGAATTTTTGCCTTTGAGAACTGTGTTCTAAAAAGTGTTACACACCAAGTACGAGAGAGGCTGTGGCTAGCTCTTTGGTGGGGTTTAGACGGGACAAGCCAGGTCCAGTTCAGGAAGGCAGGGATTAAGCATCCAAGCGAGTCTAGCATGTAGTCGGAGATTTTTAGACCAAAGCTTGAGAACATATTATTTTGAACTTATCCTAGTCATAGTATCTTTATCTTTTAAATTTAGCAGAACACACTACTATCTCTATGCAATCATGATTTTATATTAGCACATTCTCTTATGAGCTTGATGATATATCCACCTATGCAAGCATGCAAGAGTGAAGAATGAAAGCAGACACACACTTATATAAATCTGATTTTCTTGGACTCATGCAGGATAATGTTCTTATATTCTTATGTTATTGTTATCTTATATTTATTCATCTTTATTTTATTGTTTTATCTTACTTTTTTCCCCTTCTTTTCTGTCTTCTCTGTTTGGCATCGATATCATGATCGATTCATTTTAGCCGACCCCAAATTCTTTTGGGATTAAGGCTTGGATGATGTTGTTGTATGCAGGATACTGTTCTAGTTTTTCTGCATGGTTTCCTTGGAACTGGTGAAGATTGGATCCCATTCATGAAAGCCTTGTCGGGCTCTGCCAGATGCATCTCAATTGACCTCCCGGGCCACGGGACCTCACATTTTGCAGATTGGGTTGGTGATGATGCTATGGCTGAATCAACTTTTTCAATTGAAGCCATTGCGGCAATATTGTGCAATTTGTTTGACTATTTACATCTCAAGAAAGTGATCCTTGTTGGGTACTCCATGGGAGCCAGGATTGCATTATACATGTCACTAAGATGCAGCGCAATGGTGATATATAAAACATACGACTCAGTACTGTTCTTTTCTCGCAAATAAAATTTGATTTATATCTGATTCCAACGTTTTTGTTTTTTAAGATTGAAGCAGCTGTCATAGTCTCTGGAAGTCCTGGATTGACAGATTTAGCTGAACGAAAAATGCGTAGGGCTAAGGATGATTTTACTGCATCTTTCCTGGTTTCTTCAGGCCTGGAATCTTTTCTGGACATTTGGTATGCTGGTGACCTCTGGAATAGGTACATCCATACAAGTTAAGGTCCACCCTATATGTTTTACTATGGTACTTGAACAGTGGGGGATAGAGTTTGACCACTTCATAATGTAACTTTGCATTCTGCAGTTTAAGATGTCATCCACATTTCAAGAAAATAGTTTCCAGCCGATTGGGACATGCTGATCTGAAAACTCTTGCCAGGGTTCTATCTGACTTGAGCATTGGCAGGCAGCCGTAAGTTAAACTATCTTTACAATATGTCATTATGTGGCTCTAGGCCTCTACAAATCTCATGCCTAGGTCAGGGGCCGGGGTGGCCTGGCCCACCCAAGTTTGATCCATACAACAACATCCAAGCCTTATTCCCAAAAGATTTTGGGGTCGGCTAATATGAATCGATCCATGATATCGGAGCCAAAAAGAAAAGAAATATAAGAAAAATAAAAAGATAAGTTAAGATTAAAAAAAAGATAAAGATAAATATAATATTTCTTCCACGTAAAAAAAGGTAAATATAAGATAAAACAACATAAGAAAGATAAAAGGTTAACATAACATAAGAACATAAGAATGATAAAAGAAGATAAAAAGATCAAAGAAAAAGAGAGAATTTTGTAAAAAGTATTATGAATGAATCTTCTCACCAACCACACGTTCAAATTTAGAGGAGCCCTGGCTCCGCCCCTTACCTAGGTCCCAGTCACCGTCTAACGGTTTTGAACACATACCCTTTGTTTGTGGCATGGAAGAGAGGTATAGAAGAAAGAAAAGGAGCATAAATGAGTGAGAAAAAAGAGAAAATGTGAGAAAGAGAGTGGGTTAATTGTACTGTTTTTGTATGGGAGAAGTAGAAGAGAAAGAAACGCATGCATTGTGCCAAAGACAAAATGCCCTTGTATTAATAATGGTAGGAGGAAAAGTGAGAGGATACATCCATGTTTCTTTTCTTCCCATGTGAGGAGAAATTGCAAAAGGTGGTGTGACCTACCTATTTTTAAACTCACCCTATAGCATTGTTCCTGATTTATCTATCTTTGATATCAGATCATTGTGGGATGACCTGAAGCGCTGCGAACTACCACTTTTGTTCATTGTTGGAGAAAGAGATGCTAAGTTCAAGGCCATTGCCCAAAAGATGCATGACACAATCACCAATCAAAATGCAAGTGGCGTGAATTGGCCTGAAATAGTTGAAATTCCTTATTGTGGGCATGCTGCACATCTTGAGAACCCTCTGCCTGTTATCAGTGCAATAAGCCGTTTTTTGAGAAAGTTGAAGAACTAAAAAAGAAACAGATAAATCCAACTTCGACCTACCCAAATCGTTCACGAATTCTGGTAATACAATACAGAGTAATAGGGACGAGAGAAGCTTCATTATGTTTTTGTTCATATTTTAATGTAGTTTCACTTTCACTTGACTTCTCACCGTATTCATGGAAACACTTCGTTGTGAAATACTGAAATGAACATGTGTTGCATTACAGATGAACGTAAGATTGTGAAATAGTGATGTTATATGTAGTTTAGTTTGTACGTTGGATATATTGGATTTCATCTTTAATTGCAAAGTGTATCTTTTTTTGTTTTGTTTAGGGTGTGTAGAGTCTTAATAATTGTTTGAGCTTAATAACAGATGTAGTTCAGCCCGGTCTCGCAAGTTCAAGAACATTAGTTCTCATGCATAGGAATGGACAGAATAGTTTGATTCAATCGGATCCAACCAAATTGCAAATTAGCACTTTCATTTGGTTTCGGTTTACTGAAGTAAATCATTTAGTAAGAAACTAAGAATATGCTCAAACTTGATGGTTGGATTTTATTTGATTTTAAACATAAAAGTCGTGAGCAACTAAATCATGTTATGGTATCAAAATACTATAAATGTCTTATTATTTTCATGGTAGCTTATAAATAAACAACTTAGATATGAAAGCAAATATGTTTGTTTAATACATACTGTTTTAATTTTCTATGTTTCGGATGTAAAAATTTCAAAGTTTTCATTACACGCCCTATCAAAACTCGTATTCAATTTAAATGGATACTAATAAGTAATAAATAAATGAATTTTGCAACTTATAAAAAGCATATGTATTCACTATACGATACTCAATTATTACTTCCGCGCAATCTATATTCAACTAGTACAATTCTGAGATGATCTTTGTAAAAATTTAAAACATCACAACAAATTAATAAAAAATAAATTAGACAATTATTCTTATTTGTATATAGGGGTAAGGCGGTCTTGGGATTGGACTGGGATTGACAAGTTTTTGAATCAGGACTGATATTGAAAAATAAAGTTCGGGTCAAGACTCAGACGAGACTGGTAGAAAGACATCTCAGTCCTAGGTAAGGATGGACTGGACCCGGTCCGACCGGGACTGGTACCGGTCCATGGGGCCCGAAGTGGGGTAGGAGGGCTACGGGACAGGGAAAAGGGGGTACCGGCCCGACCGGCCTGGGTCAATTTTTTTTTAATTTTTTCATTTAAAAAAAAATATACCCTGACCCAACCCAACCCAGGCCGGTACCTGGCCTTCATCCCAAAACCCAATCCTGCCCCAATCCTGGCCTGGGGCCCGGCCCGACCCGGACCCGGTCCATCCCAGTCCTAGGCTTCAAGTTTTGGAATTGGCTGGTCCTAGTTCTGGAACTTCTGGTCTCAGTTTGTTTACATTTGAACCATGGAGAAGCATTTTAAAAGAAGCGAGGGTACATTTAAAAGCTAGAAAAACGTGGGGATGGGGTGGATGATTTAGAAATGAATAAAAATAAAAACAAGATCAGAACCGGCCTGGAAGGATGGGATAATGTCGAGTTAGTTAAACTATGAGGTATCTCCTTTTATATTCAGAATAGGTTTTTTTTTTGTTCTATAACCCTTTATGAAGTAATGTAGGTGTCATTTTTAAAAAAAGGGTAAATAGAGAAGAATAGAAGTAATAAATGTAAGAAAAAGAATATAAAATTAAAGGAATGCGACACATTTATTCAAGAATTGATGGAGAATTGGCGCAAGGATCTCTCGCATATAACTCTGCCATAAATTTGATCAATCGTGCTACTTGTACACGTTGGATTACACGTCGATTTATATATCAATATGTAATCGTCTATAATAGACGGTGGATTTTCATTTTAGTAAAAGAAAATGTATGTGACCCACCAAAAATGAATTGTCTGTGAATAGACAATTCCAGACTTTTCAGGGTCACAGACATTTCAATTTACTAAAATGAAAATCATTTATGTGTGCACATATAATGACACTTGGGCGTGTAAATTAACATGCAGAAGTAGCATTACTATTAATGAATCTGAAATGGCCGGAGTGTACTCAATTAAGAGATGTACTTGGAGCGATTTAAAAAGCTCGGTGATATTCACTTAAGACTAGATTAGATAACCTTTAAATGTGTGTGTAGAATTTAGATATTCAATCACACAATGAAGAGTTTTAAAAAGTCCTTCACTATCTATGGGTTTAGGAAAAAACTTAAAAGTTTATTGGCTTTTAAAAACCTAGACGGTAGACTGGTAGGCCGTTTCATCATATTTTGTTCCAAAATTTAATACCGGACATATTTAAAAAAAAAATGATGACACCCCATCCCTGAAGACCCCTCAATCTCTCATCGCAGTTGTCGGTATTCAAATTCAAGACCTAACCCTTGTGGCACTCCTTTGCTACCAGTTGAGCTACGCCCACCGGTAATACCAGACATATTTTAAATCTACATTATAATGTCGTTGCTCCATCTATAATACATACCTTCATCAATGAAAGCATTCTATAATTTATATTATATCCACATTATATTCTATAATTTACTACTCCGTATGATGTAAGTAAAAACATGTACTCCCTCCGTCCCGCTAAAAGGTTTCCGTTGACGGTTTAGGATGCTTAACTGACGATAAAGCAACTTAATCCTTGTTTACACTCTGATTATTTTTAGTAAATAAAATTAACATATTCAGAAACTACATTAAAATCGCTACAAAGCCTGATAAAAAAAATGTAAATTTGATTTATAAAGGAAAAGATTAAAAATGATTTAAGTTGAGCATATGAATAGTGGACGAAAACCTTCTAATAGGACGGAGTATGTAACAGTACGTGTTTTAAAAGAACTTTTTCTAGTGATGTGATATTCATTCATTGCACAACTGAATTCATTTCATAAATGAGGTGCTTTTTTAAGATTAAGAAAGAACTTATAGAAAAACTGTGTTTATATAATATGCGAAGAAAACACAAATGCAACATATCCAAAGATGATTTTTAAAGGAAAATGTCAATATAAGTTCAGGTGTAGCCTGTAGGCCGCATAGCAATTAGCAACTGGGGTAGTAGTCTGTGATGGAAGTCGCTATTACACAATCATCTTACACAATCATCGTGCTTAAATATCCAAGGAGCTTCTCTAATTATCAAGATTACTGTACTTACTAATATGTAGTATATCCCTGATCTCACATTCTCACTAAAGGGAGCATTTGGCCCTAGGGATGGACACGGGCCGGGCCAACCGGCCCGGAACCAGACCGGCCCGCTACTGTGCGGGCCCGGACCAGCCCGGTGAACCGGTTGGTTGGTCGGTTCGGGCCACCCGGCCCGGTGGGATGGCGGTTCGTGCTCGGGTCCTTCAAAAGATGAACCAGTCCGGCCGGTTCGGGCCCGGGCCGGGCCATTTTTTTTTTTTTTTTGAATTTTTTTAAGTGTTTGGGTTGGGCTGGGTATTTTGGGCCATTTGAGGTGGTTAGGGTTGGTTTGGGGGTGAGGGGGAGGGTTGGGGGTTAACTAGGAAAAGCCAAAAAACAAATTAGAACCGAGGCCCGGCCCGGCCCGGACCCGGGGGTTACCCGGGCCGGTTTCGGGCCTCCCCTTCATGAACCGAGGCCCGGCCGGGTCCGAACCGGAACCAGTCCATCCCTATTTGGCCCTGCAAATTGACTATATTTATTAAAGTTACTGCACAGTTCTTTAATCGATGGGGTCAAAGATCTGAATCTAACCATTGCATATCATTTACCAGTAAGGTAGTTTTAGCCCCCAATAATTAAAAAAAGGCTATTTAGCCATCTTTCCTTTTAATATATCTTAGCATTGAAATTCTATGATACCATAGTAGAAATATGGGTTCTGTTCAGATGTAACCAAAAATAGGATACATACATCATCATCATCATTACCCCAGTGCCGCCGCAAAGGCTCCCACACCTTTGGTGGGGTAAGGGGGTCGGATGTACGGAGTCTTACCCCTGTACTTTAAAGCACAGAGAGACCGCTTCCAGATGACCCATAGTGAAAATCGCGTCCAAAATTGCATGGACCGACTGCTGCTTCATAACAAAGAAGCGCAGGCAGTTTAGTAAGCTCTAATAAAAAATAGGATAACTAGCTTTGAGAAGAGTGGATAGGCTAGAGGGAGAACCCAATTGAGACGAGAGAAATTATTTTCAAGAAACAACAACTTCGTGGAGACCAATTCTATATGAATAATTCGAGCCACAATATACAGAATATATCTCGGTTAATGAAATGAAGACCCTACCCATACCGATGTAAAAAAAAGGAATGACACGTTGTGGAGATGAGAATATACTGTATGTAATGCAATCCCTTGCAAAATTATCATTATACACTTCACATCACAATAAGCTTACTTGCCTTTGTATTATTAACTTTAGTGATAATCTGCAGTTTCAGTCAGATGTCATAGGATTATCTTCTCTGCTATGTAATGCCAGTTTTTTGGTACCACAAAGGATAAAATTCACACCGATATCATCTGATATTGACCAGTGACCTGTCAAAGGGTTGTATGTAAATCCACCCATCTCTTGGACCTATAATAAATAGTATATATGTCAAACAAGACTGCGGGAATTATTCACAAAAATCCCACAAAGAACGAGTTTTTCGTTTAAAGACTGACTCACCGATATAGAACACCGTTGTAGAATCAGAACTAGTTCTTCTGGCGTAAGAAAGCTTGACCATTTATGTGTACCTTTAGGAAGCTGCAAAATGTTATTCATAGCATTTAGCACAATTTTTTGGTTGGCCTGTATAGATAATTACAGTTCATGGTCTCTAGCAAAGAGAGGTACACTAGATAACTAAGAGCCTGTTTGGTAAACCCATAATTTGTCTTGTGATCAGCTCAGTTTTTTCACCTAACTCTTTAACTTATACAAAGTATATCTCTGCGTTAGCTAGATAGGCTGATAATGCCAAACAAAAGTTGCGCAGAAGGCACACTTAGTTATTACTCCATCCGTCCCTTATAACTTTGACAACTTTCCTTCTTTGGTTGTCCCAAAAACTTTGCCACTTTCCCTTTTAATCAATTCATTTGTGGCTCTTCTTATTTCTCTCTCCTCTGCACAAATCTCTAACACAATTTTTACTTTATTATTCTAGTGTCGGTCAAACTTGGCAATCCTTTTAGGGACGGAGGGAGTATTTCTTTAAGTTTATTTAATTAATAAATTTCAAAAGACGTTTTTAAAGATGACTCAGGAAACACATCAGCAGATTCAGCCTTTTAGGCATTCTTATTAGATGGTCCCTGAATATCGCTTAGCGGAGTACCAAATAATGGATTAAATTGGCTGGCACATTAGACATCCAAACCGCATACCCAGTGCAGGATATACTCTGCTGCAAGAATTGCAGTGGCATAAGCCCTCATTGAACGGTTAATTGTTGATATCACTGTAGCACCACTAGCAACTGTCAACTCCGATAAGGATTTGCAGAACTCACCGGGATCAGCTACATGTTCTATCACCTGGAACAAAAATATTGAAAAAATTGGTAGGAAAAAGCTCATGTGTAGAAAAAGGGGCAGCCTGGTGCACATTGACGTCCCCAAAAGCGGAGGGTCCTGGCCAGCACAAGGGTGTATAGCCTAGGGGGGCAAGCCTTCTCTTTTCATTTTTCCCAGAGGCTGGTCCGAAAGACTTGAACCCATGACTTCAACACCTTAAGAGTGCGTCAAGGCTCTCTTTCAAAAAGCTCATATGTATAATTGGAAAATAATTAAAAAAGAAAAACAAAACAGAAACACTAATTTTGTAATAGCTTCACATATAAAAGGGCAGCCCGGTGCACGAAGACATCCCCGGAAGGTTAGGGTCCGCTGAAGGGTCCCACCACAAGGGTGTAAAAGGGGCAAGCCTTGCCCTGTCAAATTTTGACAAGAGGCCGCTCCCAAGGCTCCCCTTCTAATAGCTTCAGAGCAACAACATTAAAAATTACACAATAAAAAAACTTAAGGGGCAGATGAAGGAGGGCCAATGATTCCTTTATTAGATTCTAGTAAGAAAAATTCCAACCAATGAAGTTATTATAGTGATTTCTAAGCATACCTCTAGAGCAATTACAGCATCAAACTGCCTCTGTTCTTCCACCAAATTTTCTGGCCACATTATTTGCAATTATGTCATCTCTAGAAGATATATACTTGGGGGGTTGACTAGTGCAAGGGTTTACATAGAGGAATCAGATACTTGTGTAACTAATATACAGATCTAAAATATCACGAATGTAGAAAATGATCGAATTGGTCAAATGAAGATCGAATGGCAGATCGGAATATATCACATGCAGCAACTGCAGCACAAATTACAATATAAGGGAAAAGGTAAAACAAAAAATAAGCAAGCTGGAGGAATAGAGAAGTTATGACCAACATTTGACACAATGCATCTACATTAGTTACAGAATTCCATAAATCATGTGACAGATGTTGTGGTAGTGGCTCAACTGAGGAATTAATGGATTAAAAATAAGTTCATCACATGGCAAGTTACTAAACCAGTATCATATTCGATTAGTCCAAAACCTTACCATGATTCATGAAGCATCTTGGAAAATCCAACAAGAATAAACCAAAAATGACAAAAAAGAAGACAATCATGCAGAAATATCATTCTAAACATACCAGCAGTAGTGCAACGATATTCGAGTGATGAAGTTATTGGATCCAAATCCTGAAGGAAAAATAGGTAGATGTCTTTGACAAACAATACTCATTTGTGTCATGATTATTTCGAGAAGTCTGATGGATTAAAAAACATACCACATGAATGCGTGCAATCTTGATGTTTTTATCAATAGCATCAATTCCCATTACAGTAGCCCCCATTCGAGCCAGAGGCTGCACCGATTAAGAGCACATACTGTATTCATATGCTGTTACTTACACAGTTACATACTTACATGAATGAATGCAATAAAAGAAAATACTCCTATTGACTATCAATAAAAATACCAAAACATGATTTGATTTTTTATTAATATGTTTTTCAAATAGCTGGCATGTTGAATGTAATTGTTGGCAGCTTGGCATTCCGCATTCGTTGTGACACAAACTTATCAGGACTTCGGATGGCATACCTCAGATAAAATCCCCCCTCCACAACCAACATCCACAAACTTGAGTCCTTTAAAAGGTTTGGGAGAATAAGGATCCCTCCTGAAAGATAAGAGAAAAACAAAAGTTATTAGTCCGGGAGAATTTTATAAATAAATGCATAATTTTTACCAAAACCTTACAATATATCTAAGGGTTAGGACCAAGTGCAAAAGATTAACCTTTTTTAGAATAAAAAATGATATCAGTCCAGTTATTGATTCAAATATTTGGGGGGAAAATGTCTGTGTGAAAGATAAGAGGATACTACTATACATTGTGACTAATTTTATCAAATTTACACTCAAAAAGCTAATGCTGATAAATTAAAAGCAAATGAGAAATGATAAACGCACTTGTCCTTGAAGAGAAATACATATATCAAATGCAGCAAGGCGCATGAACACATAAAAAATAATTTTCATATCAATTATCTAAACATTTTAGGAAATTACCCGAAATGGCGACAAAGTGTGGACCTGATGAAAGCTAGTCTTGTAGGATTCATCTTATGCAATGGCTTAAATGGCCCTTCCGAGTCCCACCTAATGTGTAAGGTCATTAAATGTGAAAGAAATGTTCTGTGAGGAAAAAAATTGGCGACATCATTAGAGAAAAACGTATATCACTAACCAGGTTTCAGCAATGGCTGAGAACTTGGCAAGTTCAGCTTTATTGAGAGAGCTAAAGACAGGCTTCGCCATTGATTCTTTCAGGGAAGGATTGATTGTTTGCTGGAAAGTTGCTGAATAAGGTCGCGAGTGAATGAGAGATTCAAGCCTCGAAAATGGGACATATGGAGTAAATATAGCATTTCTTTGAAAGTGATGTAGAGTCTGGATCGATTTAGCGAACTCGATTACCGTTTGGTGGCGCTTTAGCAGAAGCTTCGAAGTCATGGCAGAAGCTTGAGCTACACGGCTGTGAAGCGTACCTGAAGCTCCAAGCTCCAGAGAAGATGACGAGGCCAGCGGATGTTTTGTTTCACTAACAACCATCCCGCTACTGTGCGTACCCGAACCGGACCGGCCAGCTACTGCGTGGGCCCGGCCCGCCCGGTGAACCGGTTGGTTGGCCGGTTCGGGTCACCCGACCCGGTGGGATGGCGGTTCGGGCTCGGACCCTTCAAAAGGTGAACTGGCCCGGCTCAGACCCGGGGTTACCCGGGCCGATTCCGAGCCTCCCCTTCATGAACCGAGGCCCAGCCGAGCCCAGACCCGAATCGGAACCGGTTCATCTATATGTAAAATGAGAACCGGATCAAAGTATGGTTTAAATGTACATGTATACCATCGTGTGGATTTATGTTTTGTGATTTATGTCTTGTACATCTCAAATTAAGTAAACAGAAGCATACTATCTCAAATTTATGTATAATAGTGCTACGTTCTCGAAAAAATGTCTTGTACTACCACAATTTATCTTAAATTTATTAATTATGTAATACTCCGTACTACGTATGAAAATTGAAAATTTGTGTGGATATTTTAAGGATGGCTAGAATTTAACATCCGCTTAAACGGTTGAAAAAATGTCATTGTTTGGTATTGGTATTATATTTATCGTTCTGTTTAAAAATGAAACCATATAGAATGGGGTTAGGTCTATGACGGGATCGAATTGGATCAACTATTTTAGATACGAAAAAGAAGAAGAAAAGAATCGAAATAGATCCTTGAACTAACTTAAAAAAGGGAGATTTCAACAAATAGGACTTAATCATACTAATTTTCCAAAATTAAGACTATAGATTAGGGTAAGACTTAAGTACAGGAGCTTTGACCAAATTGTCCTCCCTATAAAAATTAAAAATAGAATACTCCTAATCGACATCACACTATCAAAGGACACTGCACTGAACAGTCGCTGCCATGGCCACCGGCGACACACCAGCCGCCGCCGCAGCCAGTAACACCGCGCCCTCTAGTGCGGCTGCCTCCGCCGCCTATCTTCTCAGGCCTGACATCAGCCCGATGCACTTCCTCCAGTGAATCTTCCCCTGGCACCACCTCTGGCGAGATTGCTCCAGATTTCCGCCGTGACAGCCGCCTCAGGCCGCTCCACTTGCCGCTGCCGAACCGCGCCAGTCACCGCCGAATCGCGCCAGTCGCCGCCACGCTGCACCACAGTGCACTGGTTTCCGATGTCTTCTTCTTCTTTCTTTTCTGTCCGATTTCGATGGCGTCCACGAATATTATAATGGAAGAAGATGGTTTTGGCCTTAAATCGGCGGGATTTGGGGGCGATACGGCCGACGGGGTGCGGACGGCCTTCAATCGGTGGTGGACGCTTCTGCAAAACTTTTGAAGAAACCAGATCCAAAATCAAACTTGCAAACACTAGACAATACATAGACATTAAGTAGTCAGTAAACAGACCATAATTTCGAATAATAACTCAATAGCAGGCAATACATAGACAATAAGGGTAAAGTTGGAAATTTAAAATCAAGTTTTCAAAACTAGAACTACATAGCTCTTACGGAAGGAAAAAACATGCGTATGTACTATTTTTATAAAAGTGATTTGATTAGGTCCTACAAGGAGCAAATCGCCCCTCATATAGAAGGTTCTATCCGATTGTCGCCATTTAAAGTGCTTCCCGATGAAATTTTTTGGTGAATTTTTTTGATAATCTTCTTCATTAAATTTAGTTTTACTCATACTAAATTTTACAATTTAATTGGGAAAACAGTCAAATGAATTTTTGAAGATAACTGCCCGTTACATCAAACATTCTCAATGGAGGGCCTATTTGACCATTTATAATAATCCCAGGCTCCGATGATCTGATCTGCACCGACTTGATGCTCTTTTGATCTAACTATGAACTTACAAAGAGAGCTTCTGCATCTCAGAACTCAGAAGCTTTATATACAATGACTTTATGATTCGATTTTGATTTATATGACCGTTTATCAGATATGGGGAGAGGAGGATCATTGATAACGATGAGGGCATTCGATTGGAAGGCGGGGCAGATAATAATGGTGGCACTCTTGGTGATGATTGGATCTTTCTACACTGGAACTCTCTTCGGACCCAAAGATTCTTACTTTTCTCCTTCTCTGCACCCTCCTGAACAGAACCCGCAAGAAGAACAGGTCGCGGTCAGTTCGAATCCCAACTTATCTTACACTGCCTCTGGTTAGTTCAGTCTCATTGGTTTTATTTCCTTTTGATTTAGTTTGGAAATGTATTAAAGAAGCGTAAGCATTGATATAATTTTTGCTATTATTTCAGTAAAGAATTTATCTTTACAAAATATATGGATTTTTTTTATATATGATGAATTGATGATAGCATTTTCAAACAAAAATGATTCATGTCTTAAAAGCTTTTTTTTTTTGCCTCAGGAATAGATTTCCCAAAAGTGGTCATGAACTTTTAAAAACGCTCCAATTTTGTTTTACTGAGTTGGGACTTGGGATGGTAAATGATTGTGCAAATTGTGATTCTTATATTCTGCATATACTTTATGCGTGCAGGTAGTCCGACATTTACAAACAAAGTTGCTCTTACTTATCGAATGGTACCACTCACTATACCAGAAACTGGGATGAATGTTTGCCCTCTTAAATTCAACGAGCATATCCCATGTAATGATGTGTCCTATATTAAAGAGTTACTGCCAAAATTAGATCTTACTAGGAAGGAAGAGCTAGAGAGGCATTGTCCTCCTCTAGAGAAGCGCTTGTTTTGTTTGGTTCCACCTCCGGTGGATTATAAGGTACCAATCAAGTGGCCTATTAGCCGGGATTATGTATGGCGAAGCAATGTCAACCACTCACATCTTGCTGAAGTGAAAGGAGGACAAAATTGGGTGCATGAGAAGAACCAGCTCTTGTGGTGGTTTCCAGGAGGTGGAACTCATTTCAAGCATGGAGCATCTGAATACATTCAGAGGTACGCATATCATAATGGCTCTTCTATATATATATATATATATATATATATATATATGGAGTATATTTTTATTTTTCCATTTCATGAATCTAATGCATCCCATGTTTTTTTTAAATTAGTCACCTGCTATGTCCTACCCGAGAAATAAATAGGGGTTACACAATATCTAAGTGGAATTAGACATCCTAGAGGGGTTGGCGATTAGCAGATGATTAACTATTGCTTGGGGTTAGATACACGTTAAGCAGTACCCTCTCTGTCCCATAATAAGGTTTTCATTTACTATACATGCGTAAGTTTACTCTTTTTTAGTATATGATTTTATATGCCAAATTTTCATACACGTGAATCCGGATTTTGCTGTTCAATAGAACTTTTAGTGTAGTTTCTAAAGTGTAATTTTAAATATTAATACCAATTTAAATATTTCATAAGAGAGTGCACTCCATCATCAGTCAAACATCGTACCTGAAACGGGAACCTTAATATGGGAGGGAGTATCCCACATTGAATGACTAATGAGTTTGTGCCTAATATTTATGTGGGGTAAACCTCTCATCTTGACAGTCCTGATATAATCATATAAGTTAGTTCTAATTCAACATACTTTTACGACAATGAGTACATCATTGTAAATATGTAGGTTGTTCTGAATTTCTGATATAAATACACATTTTGCAACAAGTGTGCGTAAGGCTGCAAATATTCGAAATCATTTTCCTATGTTTTTCTTTCAATGCAGATTGGGAAATATGACAACCAATGAGAAAGGTGACTTACGTTCTGCAGGGGTATTTCAAGTGCTTGATGTTGGCTGTGGTGTTGCTAGTTTTTCGGCATATCTTCTTCCACTAGACATAGAAACTATGTCCTTTGCTCCAAAAGATGGTCATGAAAATCAAATTCAGTTTGCTTTAGAACGAGGGATTGGGGCTATGATTTCTGCTTTAGCTACTAAACAATTGCCATATCCAAGCGACTCCTTTGACATGGTCCATTGTTCTAGATGTCGTGTTGATTGGCATGAAAATGGTGAGTTTTGAGTGAATTATATTCATGTAGTGTATATAAGTATGGAGGAAGGTGACAATATATAAGTGCCTCCAAAAACTACATTCATGAATTGTGTCAAAGTTAAATTATTATTTTTTCCTCACATTAGTGTTGGGATGGTAAGTTTTCATCATTGTGTTGTTGTGGCTATCGCAGATGGTATACTACTTAAGGAAGTGAATCGTCTATTGAGATTAAATGGATATTTTGTCTATTCAGCCCCACCAGCTTATAGAAAGGATAAGGATTTTCCAGAGATATGGGACAAGTTAGTCACAATTACTTCTGCAATGTGTTGGAAACTAATTGCCCGACAAGTTCAAACAGCAATATGGGTCAAACAAGAAAATAATTCATGTCTTCAGCAAAGTGCAGATCAACAGCTTGTGAAATTATGTGATTCTGAGTCTACTATGCCATCATGGAAAACACCAATGGGAAATTGTGTTACACTAAGTAACACGATATATAATAACTCTAAAAAGCTCCCTCCACGGCCTCAACGACTTTCAGAGTATTCACAAAGTCTCGTAACAATAGGTTTGCTCAACTCTTTTGCTATAATACATGCTCCTTCTGTCCTGATTCAATAGCCATTTTAAGATTATCAATGGTAATGCAAATTACATTTCTATCTCTATAATTAATTGTTTCTCACACACTTGAAGGAAAAACAGCATTTAATATGGGGAAAGTTAGCAAGGACAAATTTGAGATTAGAGAAACATATGCATTGAAAGGCGGCTATTTTGGGTGTAAAAACTATTCCCTTAAGCATGAAGGAATAAGGGAGTACTCCCTCCGTCCCGAATTGAATTGCAAACTTTGACCAGCACAAGGATTAAAGAATGACAATAAATGATGCTTGCTTTTTACACTTTTGCCCATGTTTTTAAAAGTAGATTCCTTTAGGTTAATGGTGAAAAAGTAAAAGTAAGGGTAAATTTGTAACGGAGGAACACACAGCAAGATATGAGTGTCACAAATACTTAGCCTTATCTCTATGATTTAGCGTTTTCAGTGTAAATAGAGCACTATTAGCGTAAATACAGTGTATTTTAATAATTAGGCAATCATCCCTTGATATTTTGAAACCAGCGCCTGAAGACAAGTGATGGATAGTGTACCCGGGGGTAGTTTATCCGGGGGTAGCTTATCCGGGGGTTACTGTGGGGAGTAACTTAGAGAGAAGTTAGAGCAAATAAGTAAGAGAGATAAAAAGTTCGAATATAGAATGAGTATTCAAGTTGTCCGTTACAAAGGGGAAAGGGGCAGCTATTTATAGTAGTAATAAATGCGACGAGAGTACACGTGTCAATAATCTAACGGTCGAGGGGTCACCTCAACCGAGGTGGCACCGGCACCTGCATGTGGCCGCATTAAATGCGGCGGTTGGATGTGATGTTGTACTTGGTACGGCGATCCAGGCGCATGTGGAGAGGAGATTCTGTCGAGGAAGGTGCCTTCGACTGTAGATGATAAGCCGAAGGCTCTTCATACCGGGGGCCTCTCAGTGCCGAGGGCTCTAAGTGCCGAAGGTTACTGATTTCGCCGTTTTCTCCCAGTAGCTTCGTATGCCCAAAACCAGCTGTCCTGTGGGATTTCGAGCCTTCGGCCTAGGGGCCGAAGGCGTCCATATGTGCAACGTGGGCTCCTTGATATTTGGGGCGCTGTGATTTGGGCCCGTTATGCTTCCTGGGTTTGTTGGGCCTGTGGGTCGGGGGTTCCTGGGCCATATACTCCATCAACAAGTTTTATAACTCGGTAAGATCTTTCCAACGAGATATTAAACGCTTTCAACGGAACAAAATAGAGCAAGATATAATCGCATCAAATTCTACACGAGTTCGGAGTGAAGTTAGAAACATTTGTGAATATATGGTTAATCTGTAACTTTTAATTAATGCATTGTAAATGAATTGGAACAATAGCTTTAGAGAACCAAATTATCTAGCCAACGAGATATAATACGCTCTAAACGGAAGAACACACAGTAAGATATGAGTGTCACAAATACTTAGCCTAAAATAGAAAGTGGAAAACCATTTTGGGACAACCAAAATAGGAAATTTTGAAGATCAAATTGGGACGGAGGGAGTATAATAATATGGATTACAATTTTTACTTGAAGCTTAGCTTTCTCTATTCTTCCGGAAGTTGGATTATGATTTCTTCATCCTTAAATTTGTAAGTTCAATAACATCTTTGTAAGTTATAGTTATGTAATGTTAATAGCATTTTTTATTCTTTTATTTGTCAAATTCATCCCAAGTAACTTGATTTTAATAAATTCAATCAATTATTTTTAAGCTGTATTTAATTAATGAAGAGCCAACTATAATCTGATCTAAGATGATTTTGGGGGCTTTGTTTTTTAACATTAATTATGAAAAAATGGCAAGATGGTCTAGGGGGCTTTGTTTTATAATATTAATTGTGAAAAATGGCAAGATAGTTTAGGGGTCTTTTAATTTTACAGAATTATTAGTGATTAATATATATTAATCACTTATTTCATGGAAAGGGTTGAGAGGTGTAAGGTAGAGACAAATAATGAATGGGAATATAAGATGATGATTTTGGGAGCTTTTTTTTTTATTTTACTAATCATGAAAATAAAATGGCATGATGGTTTAGGGGGCTTTTTTTTTATTTTATAGAATTATTATTACTGATTAATATACTTCCTTTGTCCCTTAAGACTTTGCCATATTTCCTTTTTTGACCGTCCCAAAAAACTTTGCCACTTTCCCTTTTAATCAATTAATTTGTGGTTTCTGTTATTTCTCTTTTCTCTACACAAACCTCAACCACATGGTTTTTACTTTATTATTCTCCGTGTCAGGCAAACATCACAGAGTTTTAAGGGACGGAAGGAGTAAGTTATAAAGGGTTTCTTTCAATCCAATGTCTGAAAGATAGTCTAACTACTAATCAAAGGTTTGATAGATGAAAATTGTTGATATAGGGTTTCAATGATTGAAAACTATCAATCTAAGATAAAAAATATCATTAATTTCATTTTTTTATTTTTGAATATTTTAAATATTATTTAATTTTATTAAACCAGTAAACTTTTGCGAAGAATAAATCATCAAAAATAATTAAATAATTCAAGAAATAAAAAACTACTCCCTCCGTCCCATAAAATTCTTCCCACTTTCCTTTTTGGGCCGTCCCAAAAAATTCTTCCCACTTACCATTTTTGGACAATTTGTGTGGTTCACATTCATTTCACCTTTTTCTTACACAACCACAACCATACATTTCCACTTTATTCCACTTTCTTAATCTCCGTGCCAAGTCAAAGTGGGAAGAATTTTATGGGACGGAGGTAGTATTATATTTTAGGCCTTAGGTTGAGAGTTCTCAATTATTCGAGTCCTAAACTAGTACGTTTTATCTTTCAGGTTCTTGATTGATAGTCGACATATCTTCTGTGTCTTGAATTGATGAATACCGTTTATTAAAGCACTTTATTTCATGGAAAGTGATGATAAGTTTAAGGTAGAGACTTAATATGAATAAGATTTGTACGGGTAGCAATGTCTTAACATGTAACTACATGCGTATTTCATGGGAAGTGATGATAAGTGTAAAGTAGAGACTTGATGTGAATAAGATTAGTATGGGTTAGCAATGTCTTAACATGCAACTATATGTGTGAATAGGTGTTGATCATGAGAAGTTCTTGTCAGACACAATCTATTGGCAAGACCAAGTTAGGCATTATTGGAGGTTGATGAATGTTAAAGAGAAAGAAATACGTAATGTGATGGACATGAGTGCTTTCCTTGGTGGATTTGCAGTGGCTTTGAACACATGGCCAGTCTGGGTAATGAATGTAGTTCCTGTAAGCATGAACAATACCCTATCTGCCATTTATGACCGTGGGTTGGTTGGCAGTTTTCATGACTGGTATGCTGATTCCCATATTCTTGGAAGTTTTTGAACTTTCACAATTATAAGATAAAATTCATCTTAATGTTTTTCCACAATACAACTCTTTCCATGATCTCTTAGGTGTGAGCCATTTTCAACATATCCACGGTCGTATGATCTGTTGCATGCCAATCATCTTTTTTCTCACTATAGAAATCGTGAAGAAGGTTGTTTGATGGAAGATATTATGCTGGAGATGGATCGTATGCTAAGGCCTCAGGTAATTTCTCAGGCTGTGTTTGGAACCGGGAAAAGTTCATGAAAGAAACTGTTTCCTTTTTCAGGTAATAATCTTAAATGTTTTCCTTTTTATGTTTCAGGGATTTATTATTATTAGAGATGAAGAAACTGTTGTGAGTAGGATAAGAGATCTAGCTCCAAAGTTTTTTTGGGATGCCCAGTTACATTTTCTAGAAGAAGATGACCACTCAAAGAAAACAGAAGCCGTCTTATTGTGCAGGAAAAAATTCTGGGCAATCGTTTGATGCCAAATTTTGCTCTGGGCAACATCACTCAGCAATTCTGTGTTCTACTTCATTTCATCTTTAATTAATTAATTAGTTTTCGAAGACAACTGAGTGATTGACCAATTGTAACTAGGGGTACTCCTGGTGCAGTTCTCTACTGGCCTGCTCCGTGCCAAAAGAATTGCTTTACCCGTGATGGAGGATTGAAAAATAGGTACATGTCCGGTCTTCGGCCTATTCTGGTTCCAGGTTCGGTGCTTTCACCTATTAAAAATGTGTTCCGTCAAGGCCATTTTACGAGGAGCTGGAATCAAAATCGATTTAAACCAGTTGTGGGACTAGTTCTGGTCTACAATTGGATTACTGCCCAATAGAGTTTAGGTGCCGTGTATGTGCAAATGAGGATGTAATCTAACTTGATAAGAGAAATCAGAAAATTTCTAGTGTTAGATCTAGACCAAAAGTGGTTAAGGGTTCAGTTTTTTTTATAATTGACATTGTATTAGATTGAGGTTGATATTAATAGTTGATACTAATGAATAACAATGGACCGTTAGATTTTTTGGTTTGACCAAATAGTTGACAGCCTGACAGGTTGAGTGCATTTCTGCGTGTGTGTGACTGTGTGATAGTCTTTGTGGGTGTAATTGTTAACCATCCCTAAGGGTCCTAACCCTAGTGACATTCCCTCGCTACATCCACCGGTATGGAATACTCATGGAGTCATGGTGGATTAATTAATGTTAATAGTTGTCTGTGATCCAGTCATGTTTTCTCTAATTGTTTGCTCCTAAATTTGAAGTGATTCAATATTTCAATATAAGTGTTTAATAGTAAAAAATACTCTCTTATCATTTAAAACCTTTTCAAATTTGATGGGCATATCGAACAATAAAGTAAAAATTGTGTGATTGATATATGTGCAGATAAATAAATAAAGTGAAAAATTAATTGATTGAAAGGGAAAATGGTAAAGTTTTTTAAATAATCAAAAAGAAAATATGTTAAAGTTATAAAGGGAGGAGGAATTGAGTAAATTCTTTTGAAATAATGGCCTAAATATTACTTTTAGGGTTTCATTAGACAAGAATGTAACTAATTTAAGACTGGACAAAAAAGTGAGTTGGAGCTCTGTCCGTATCTTTGTTCGGCCGTCACCCAATCCTCTCCCTCTCCCAATGACAAAGATGTGGGCGGAGATGACAGGTCCGGTTGTGGAGTCCGAATCACCGATGCCTCCAATTAAGCGTCCAGGTCTCATCACTCTGAATCTCCCCAACTCCAATCAAGCCTCCAAGCCTCATCACTCCGAATCCCTGCCGCCTCCGGTTTCCACCGTCCTTGCCACGGCAGTCGTCGTCATCACCATGCCCCGTGCTTCTATTTGTTTTTTTGTTCGATTGTGGGTGGCTTCCTTGTCTCAACATGTAACATTTCAGATCTAGTTGAGACAGCGACGCAACGGCTGTTGACGAAATCCAAAATGGTGGGGCTAGATTTTATGAAATGCAAGGTGGGTGGAGAGAGGACTAGGTAGGTAGGGGTGGACCGGGTGGTGACTACGGGTGGCATCAGGTTCGATGGTGGCAGGGGAGTTTCAGGGCTAGGGGAAAGGGAAGGTGGAGATGAAGCCTAAAAAATGGGCTTGGGACGATGATGGGGGGTTGATGATGAGACTAAAGCTAGGGTGGGCTAGAGGGTTGAGGCTGGGGTTGGGGAGGGAGCTTGGGGCATGGGGAGGTGGTTGGGGGATCGGAGGGGGATGGGGAGGTGGTTGGGGGCTAGTGAGGGGCTGGGGAGGTGAGCGAGGATAGGGGAATCAAGCCGGGGCGGGGCGGCAGTCGACGGCGGTGGTCCACGGTGATGGTTAGAGATGCCGTGTGAGGGGGCTGGAGAAGTAGGTGAGGGATGAGGTTGGGTAAATCGGAGACAGCGTGTCACTGTGACCGTAGATGTCACTGCGGCTGGAGGTTGGTGCGGAGATGTCACTACGGAAATGACACTGCGAAGTTGTTACTGCGGAGGTGTCACTGTGGTCGGCGGCAGTGACCGGTGGTAGCGACAGTGACATAGGCACGACAGTGACATCGGACAGTGACATGCAAATTAGACAGTAGCATAAATATTTGGTACTCACTTTATATTATCCCAAACACATAATAATATTAGTCACATTTTTATCCAAATATAATTGTGATCACATTTTTTAAAACCAGCCTTTATTTAGTAATATTATGGGAAAAAATCCTCTTTTCAAAAAAATGAAATGAGTTAACTAATTTAAAACTGTCTATCAAAAGGAGTAAATTGTTTTGAAACACATGATTAGTATTTTTCTTCAAATCGTGTTGGACACCAAGATATATTCCGAACTAAGATTTACAGCCCGCTATTGATTGTGTATTAGTACCCATATCTTATTTTCACAAAAAGAAATTCAAAATTTTCAAATGGTGAAGTAAAAGAAAATTAAATGTTGGAATTAAGCATTGAGTAATCTCCCTTTCGGCTGCCTGAGTACAAGGAACAAAAATCCAACTGGACGTTAAACAAAGTGTGTGAAGACAAGCGCTATGAATGGGTTTCTTTGACCAAGCAGATCCTTGGCACCTCTTCCCAGGCCTTTTGAGCAAGTGACCAATTGACCATGTCACCAAATAACAAATGAACATACAATAAATAAATAAATAAATAAATAAATAAATGGCACTCTGTGGCCTACTGCCTACAACAACAAACATACTATGTAATTGGCAAAATAGCTACTCCATATTAAATTTTACCTCTCGCTTTAAATGAGAATATAAAGATTATTATCATTAAAAAATGGAACAATTAAATCATGATCTCCCGAAATTCTAAAATGAATCTACGTGGATATAATTGATTTCCGTGCAACCATCATTGGCGGAGACACTATTGTTCAAAAGGGTTCATATAGGTGTAAATTTAGTAGAAGTATTTATTATTCTTTAAATTTCTAGTTGTAAAAAAAATTTGAAAATCAATGTTTGTGCACATACATATTTCTTCTATGCCCTAACTTTAAGGAAAATTATCAGCTTTTTTATTTAATTTTTGCGCACAAATAGATTTTATGAATTTTGACATAATTAAATCTCACAAATGATACAAAAAACAATTCCACTGAGATTATTCATCGACATCTTTTGTTATTTTTTTATCTTGAAGATGCTAATGTGTAGGGTGAAAATGACAAAAGATAATAGAGATGGAAGATGTTAAAGAAGGATAAGATGAATACTGTGAAGATGGAAGATGATGAAAATGAAAGAGAAAAGTAGAAAATTTATGTACCATTGCTACTTCGTATATACTTCCTCCGTTTTTTAAAAGTTGCATCATTAGGATATTTGCACTATTTACACATCTTACTTTGAACACAATGTCCTACTAATATTTATAATCAAATTATCATGTATAAAATTTATTAAATTTCTATTCATGTGAATTTTTCAAAATATTAACTTTTCATATTTTTTTGCATTGGCAAACGTGAAAGTTAAAGAGTTGCAACTATTAAATAACGGATGATAGTAATATTTACTTGAAAAGTTACGTATATTTGACTGAAATAAGTATGATTTACAGAAATAAAAAATGTTACCTCCCAAATATAGTCACTATATATAGTAGTAACCTAAATACCCAATCACAGTAACTTATGTTCAATTTTATATTTAAGTGATTATATTATATCTTTCCATCCCATTTTATATACTTCCTCCGTCTCTTTTTAGTTGCAACAGTCAACATTTCACGTTTGCCAATGCACAACTTTGACCGTCATTATATTTAATTCTGTATTAGTAAAAACAAAATAAAAATCAGATTATAAAACTTAGTAATGAGACGAATTTAACAACATTTTTTTAAAAAAATAATTCACATGAATTAATAAATAAAATGTAATCAAAGTAAAGTACATGAATAGTGTATATATTTCAATGTTGCAATTAATGAGATACGGAGGATAGTATCTTACTTTCATTTTTGAGTTATCCAAAAATAAATGTCATATTAAATTTTTGGGAAAAAAATATGTGGTCTACTATATTTCACTTTATAATACTCAGATTTCAACTATTATTTTTATATTTTTGACCATTTTATTAATAATTGTGTCAACCCAAAATAGAACACATAAAATGAAATGATAGTACTCCCTCCGTCCCTAAATGTTCTTCCAAATTAAAGTGGCACGGTGATTAAGAAAGTGAGAATTGTGTGGTGGAGAGTTGTGCAGAGGAGAGAGAAATGCTGTGAATCACAAATTCTTTGCCAAAAAGAGAAAGTGAAGTTCTTTTTGGGACGGACGAAAAGAGAAAGTTGGAAGTAAATTTAGGGACGGAGGGAGTAGTAAATATTAGTCATCCTTTTCTAATAAGTTTCATTTCTTTAATAATTTTGAAAAAAGAATGGTATATAAAGTATTTTTCTTTGGGAACTTGGGATATAAATGCAGTTATGCAGGTAAGGGTCTTTGTGACGAAGCTTTCTTCATTTTTTAATTTTAAATAAATTCTGGTCCCAAATGAAATTCACATTTTCCTTTTTGGGTAGGTCCAAAATAAACTTCACACTTATTCTCCTTTCCTTATTTGTCAAATTATCTATATCAAAACAGTGCAAAACAGTGTCAAACAGTGTCACAACAGTGTACTCTACAGTAAAGTCAAATTTATTTCCTTAATTTGCGTGAAGTAAAAGTGTGAATTTCATTTGGGACGAGATGAAATAGAAGAAAGCATATTTGAGACTCGCTTCAAATGGACATCTCTCTGTCCAGTAAAGTGTGAATTTATTTCCTTAATTTGGGTGAAGTAAAAGTGTGAATTTCATTTGGGACGGGATGGAATAAAAAAAAAAGCATATTTGAGACTCGGTTCAAATGCTCATCTCTCTCTGTCCACTATACTTTGATATAGCTGCATCCAATCGTTATACGGAGTAGCATTTTTGGAGGGGGTTCTGTTTTTTTTATACGGTGACATATACGTATAACGAAGCAGCAGTTTTTTTAACTTTTGAATCTAATATCCCCAGAGAACCAATTTTTCTTCTGCTTCACCTTCCTATACTAGGTCTCAGGAATCTGAACTGAGGTATCTCTTCTTCTTCTGTCTTTTCGCAGTTGGCTCTTATTAAGATTTTCCATTTTATTCTGAGTTGTAGTTGATTATAGCTTTTTTATCTGTTTCGGGACACTTTCTTTAGCTTATTAGTGCTGGGAATCTGTTTTCTTTGACATCCATAGAGTGTTACTAATGAAAAACAAAAGTCTCTTAAACCTTAAAGCTCAAACCTTGATCCCTAGGTTCATTATATGTTATTATTATTATTTTTTTCTTGTATTTTTGCTTTTTTTCTTGGTATTTTTATCACTGTGTTGGTACTTGGAATTACTTAATATGCACTTGAGCATTTCCCACAATTGCTTTTGAGCTAAGGAAGCTCTTTTACCTACCTTGTTTGCATATTCTGTGCTTCTTGAAGAATAACAATTTGGCATTTGCTCTGACGAAATAAAGCAAAACTAAGATTTTAGTAGTAGTGAGGTCATATATGATTTCTTTTGGGATTAAGGCTTGGATGTTGTTGTTGTTGTTGTTGAGGTCATATATGATTTCTCCCCATTAAGTTTCCTAGTTAGCTGATTTCTAGGGTCCTTTTGGAACTTACGAAAATGTTAGGGAAAATGAATATGGAAGAAAATAAGGGAAATTTAGAAGTAAAGAAATTGAGGCAAATGAAACATGTGTTTA